CAGGGGTAGAATCAATAGACGTGATTAAGTGATATGGGCTGCTGTCCAAGTGCCTCACGTAGGCTGTTCCTCCAGCCTCCAGTGTGCCCATTTTCCTGGCCATGTCTGCTCTAGCTGGTTCCTGAATGTTCTTGCTCTGCCCAGGCTCCATGCCTCTGCAGGTGCTGTGCCGGCTTCTACCTGGATGAGCATTGCATCACTCAGGAAATCTTGGGGTTCTTTGTCTGTCTCCCCAGCTAGAGAACGAGCTCCTTGAAGGAAGGTGCTGGATCTCTTCTCTCTCGGAATCCCAGCCTCTGGCGCGAAGCTTCAGGCACCACGCATGTTTGTTGAGCGGATCAATACGATAGAAAAGGATGCAGGGTGAAGGGGAAAGGAAGCAAAGGGTGAAAGAATGAAGACATCCGGGGTGCCATCAGATTTTATTATAATCACTCCTCTCTCTGAGCTTACATGTTAATCCTCATTTGAGTGAGGCATGAGAGTGATCTGATGAGCAGGTGCCTCTGCTAGCTGCTGGAACTCGAACCAGAACGAACTGGAATGGTTCATCCTGTCATTCTATCCCTACAGTTTCCATGAGCCTGTCACAGCAAATAGGGCAGTGCTTTCTACAGACATTAATGAGGGTGTGAGTCAGGACAGAGCCAAGAGAGAGGTAATAAGACGAGGTGGACAGAGCCCTGATGGCCTGTCCTCAGTCCTGAGCTCCAGTCCTAGAGGCCCAGACAGCAGATGAGCTGGGCCTTCCTGACAGGCTCCTGCCAATTGACAATCTAAAATCTGTTTGCTTTTTTTTTTTTTTTTTTTTCTAAATATATTTTATTGATTTTTTACAGAGAGAAAGGGAGAGAGATAGAGAGCTAGAAACGTCGATGAGAGAGAAACATTGACCAGTTGCCTCTTGCATACCCCCTACCGGGGATGTGCCTGCAATCAAGGTACATGCCCTTGACCAGAATTGAACCCAGGACCTTTCAGTCCGCAGACCGACGCTCTACCACTGAGCCAAACCGGTTTCGGCTGTTTACTTTTTTTTTTTTTTTTGCAAGGCAAATATCTTTACGTCTACGTAGAAGGGTGTGAACACATAGTCTGGAAGCACATGCACACTGAGCAGTGGGCTGCTCCGCTTTATAACCCCTTACGCACGTGATCTGTCCCTTGCTCTTGATTGGCACTCGGGCACACAGTCTTTCGAAGATTGGCTAATTCAAACGAAGAGGTGGGCCTTTGCTGTTCCAAGATGGTGGCCCCCAGGAGAGCGGCAAGCCATGCAGCCAACATGGCGGCTGTCTAAACTGTTCTTTGTCAGAAAAGATGACCTGCTTCCTCCTACATAGTGGATAAAGGACACCCCACCACCACGCTACACTAGCATGTATCTTAACTCATGTCAACATAAACATTCAAACCTGTAGGTAATTTTTTGTGAGTTTGTTTGAGCCAAACTGATGACAATTGCAGGGAAGTAAAATCTCAATGGACTTAGAAAATGCTCCAGAGAATGGCAGTTTGGCATCTTATTTTATAGAGTAAAATCAAAAGAGAAGATGTAAAACTGGGTTACATGAAATCCACTGGTGGTAGATTAGAAAGGAGGGAGAAACAAAGCAGGGAAACCTCTGGGATTGGATAAAAAGGAAAATGAAAGACACAGGCTTCTCTTACATAGCTGGGTACAGGATAATTAACAGTCAACAATTAACGTGCTAATAACAACAAGGAGAGGATTTGGTCTCCAGTTGTGCCCTGAAGGGTCTGGAAAAAAGGAAGTTACCCTGACATTCCAAATGTATAAAATCTGTTTGCTTTGACTTTTTCTGTTCCTTCCTTGCTACTTCCACACTCACTGATCCCCCAGGTCCTCAGGAGACCAAATTGTAAGCCAGAGCAGGAGAAAGGGCTTGAATTAATTTCAGTGTCTTTGTGTCTTGCAGTAATAAAAAGTCTTAAGTCCTATTCGTTTAGGCGGCTATATTTTCTTATGTGCACCCCCCATCAGTTAATTTTTATTTTTTTAAATATATTCCATCAGTTAATTCTGAAGGAAAAGATTGATAAAGAGCCAAAACTGGTTTGGCTCAGTGGTAGAGCGTCGGCCTGCGAACTGAAAGGTTCCGGGTTCGGTTCTGGTCAAGGGCATATACCTTGGTTGTGGGCACATCCGTGGTGGGGGGTGTGCAAGAGACAGCTGGTTGATGCTTCTCTCTCATCGACGTTTCTAGCTCTCTATCTCTCTCCCTTCCTCTCTGTAAAAAAAAAAAAATCAAGCCGAAGCCGGTTTGGCTCAGTGGTAGAGCGTCGGCCTGCGGACTGAAAGGTCCCGGGTTCGATTCCGGTCAAGGGCATATACCTTGGTTGCGGGCACATCCTCGGTGGGGGGTGTGCAGGAGGCAGCTGGTCGATGTTTCTCTCTCATTGACGTTTCTAGCTCTCTATCTCTCTCCTGTTAAAAATCAATAAAATATATTAAAAAAAATCAATAAAATATATTTAAAAAATTAAATGAAAGGAATTAAAAAAAAATGATAGAGAGAACATCAGACATTGTTTTCTCTAGTGTCCAAATGTTCTAGGTTAAGTCCCCGCAGCAACAAACTGCAGCAAAAACTATTTCTCTTGTGACAATGGCTGTAAGTAAGCACTACAGCTCTCACCTCTCAGTGGGGCAAGCTATGAGCGTGCTCAGGGCTGTGTGACTATGACACCCTGGGGAGCAGGACCACGGCTGCCCCCATTCCATGCGGCCAGTGGCTTGGGAGGGTGCATTTTCTTTATCCTTTGGGTTTTGGTAGTGATCTGGAAAGTACCCCCTGGTTCTTCTAGCCTTCCGTTGTCCTAACCTCTCATTTCTTCCTCCTTAAAAAGAAGGGTGGGGCCAAAATCAGTTTGGCTCAGTGGATAGAACATCAGCCTGCGGACTGAAGGATCCCAGGCTCAATTCCAGTTAAGGGCATATACCTTGATTGTGGGCACATCTCCGGTAGGGGGTGTGCAGGAGGCAGCTGGTCAATATCTCTCTCTCTCTCATCGATGTTTCTAGCTCTCTATCTCCCTCCCTTCCTTTCTGTAAAAAAAATCAATTAAAAAATATATTTATATATAAAGAAGGGTGGGCTTGGAATAGCTTGAGTCCCTGGGACCCTGGAGGCAGGGACCCAGGAGGCCGGGCATGGGGGTCTACCTACTGCACTGAATGAGCATGAGGCTCCCCCCCCCCCCGCCCCCTCCGCCTCCCTCCATTCAGCTTTGAGGAGGAAATGGCCAGAAAGCTGGCAGCTCACTAGCTCTGGGCCAGAACGATAGCAGTGCAGCTGGTTCGGCTGGCTATCTCACGCTGATCACAGGCTCCGATGGGCAATTATACATGTCTTTGATTAATAAAAAATGGGGTGATAATGAATACTTAATCATCGCAGTCTGGCCGGGAGGCTCTTTCAGAACCTGGGCTGGGGGTGAGGCAGGAGGTAACCCAAGGGGTCTTGGGAGGTGCAGAGGTAGGGCACCTCCGGAGGGTGTTCTGGGAAGCTGTCGGGTCCTGGTCCTTGGGCCTCTGATGGATTCTGTGCTGGCGGATCTGCTGTGCCTGGGATTTGCTGGCCACCCTGGGAGCATGAGCTTAGGAGAGCGTTAAGCTGGTGGGCAAATGGGGAAATGTGTGTTCTGTGCCCTCCCACCTGGGTCAAAGGAAAGCACAAAGCACAGTGTGTGTGTGTGTGTGTGTGTGTGTGTGTGTGTGTGTGTGTGTCTGCAGGCGGCTGTGTGTCCTCTGTGTGTGTGTGCTGGGAGTTTGAGAGAGAGAGAGAGTCGAGAGAGAGAGAGAGAGAGAGAGAGAGAGAGAGAGAGAGAGAGAGAGAGAGAGAGAGTCAAGAGAGAGAGAGAGAGACCGCCCGCTGGGATTGGAGGGAGGGAAAGGAGAGAAGGTCCAAGGGCAGGATCCCAAAGGTGGGAGAGGCTGCGAGCGAGCAGGAGTGGCTGCGAGCGAGCAGAAGGAAGTGATGGAGAGTGGGAGGTGGAACCCGGTGGAGTGGCCCCGCCTGTCCGGGTCCTTCCGGCTCCGCTAGAACTGGGGCAGCCACCAGACTGGGAGGGGCGGCGACAAAGAGGCGCGAATCCGAACCGCGGGGGAGAGTACAGACAGTCCAGAGCCCGAGCCAGGAGCAGGAGGCGGGTAGGGCAGGGCGCTGGGAGGGGCTGGCCCCTTGGCCACGCGACTGGGAATAGGGGATGGGGTGGGGGGCAATGGATGGGAGGCGGAGGACTCCTGAGGCCCCCTCTGCGGGGTGGGTGTGGGGTTGGGGTGAGGGCTGGGCCTCCGGGCACGCTTTCTGTCCTGATGCTGATGAGCAGAGCGGCGGGGGAGGGGACACGGGAGTCCTGACCGCGTGTCCGGTCTGGAGGCTCCTGTTGGAGTTGGGATATTTTGGGCATCAGACTGGCCCACGTTGTGACTGACTAACCCATGTGACCTGGGGTAGGCTGACAAAATACCCTGAAACGTTTGCTTTCCTGGCAGTAAGGGGAAGCTAACCAAACCCCAAGCTGGCCAGATTGTCCTTAGTTTTTGTGAGAACCTCTGTCCAGTCCCCTCACTGCCTGCGACTGGTGCAGACTGGCTGCAGTCGTTACGTCCATAGTCAGTCAGGGTCCGGGATTTGGGCTCGGTGCCCGCTTCGCCACCTGCTGCCTTTTGCAGCTGTTTCCAACAGCTGGCCTGGCTCTCCAGTCCACAGCAAAGATTTGGTCCACCTCGGCCTCTCCCCTACCCCTTCCCCTCCCTAAGCAGCCTCTGCCTTCTTTTACAGGATCCGCAGACACCCCCAGCCGATGGTTTCTGCCCACGCCAGTCCACACGGCCAGGACCAGTGCTCTGTGCAGGAAGGGCCTGCCAGAGGCATTTTCCCAGGGCTCCAGCCCCAGGCCTCGCAGCTCCTGCGGTCGGTCGGCGGGGGAGGCCACCAGGGCCCGGGATCTGAGGAGCGGCTGCTGCCCAGGCCATGCCAGCCCAGGGACTGCCCCTGCACGTGGCCACCCTGCTGACGGGGCTGCTGGAATGCCTGGGCTTCGCAGGCGTCCTTTTTGGCTGGGCATCCCTGGTGTTTGTCTTCAAAAAGGAGCATTACTTTGAGGAGCTGTGTGAACCCGGGCTGACGGGCAACGCCACGGGTGTGGAAGGTGAGGGAGCGATGGCTTCTCTGGGGCTCCGAGTCTGGTTTCCAGGTGGTGGGAAGGGTAGGAAGGACTCCACCTCCTGGCCACCCTGCCATCCTTTCTTTAATATATTTTTTATTGATTTCAAAGAGGAAGGGGGAGAGAGAGAGAGAGAGAGAGAGAGAGAGAAACATCAGTGATGAGAATCATTGATTGCCTCCTGCACCCTCCCTCCCCCGCCACTAGGGACTGACCCCACAACCCAGGCATGAACCCTTGACCAGACTCAAACCCGGGACTCTTCAGTCCACAGGCTGACACTCTATCCACTGAGCCACGCTGGCTAGGGCCCTGCCATCCTTTCTGTGGAGAAAGGGAGGGATTGTCAGCCAGCCCCAACCTTAGTCCAAGGACTACCTGGGGAAGGGACGTACCAGCTTCTGAGGGGTAATCAGAGGCAGTCACGTTTCAGCTCACCTAGGGAGAACTTTCCAGAGGCAAGCTGTCCGAGGTGGCAGGGGCTGCCCCAGACGGGAGCTAGGCTGGATGCCCACCTGGCAGGCAGTCCATGGTGGAGCAGAGGTTGGCCCCTCCACCACCCCGGGCTCCTGAGCATTTCCTGTCTCTCTCCTCCAGACTGCAAAGCCCAGGATGAGAGGTTCTCCCTCATCTTCACCCTGGCGTCCTTCATGAACAACTTCATGACCTTCCCCACCGGCTTCATCTTTGACCGTTTCAAGACCACCGTGGCCCGCCTCATAGCCATGTAAGTCCCGAAGGCCCCGCCTGGGCCAGGTGGGAGTTGTTCCTCTGGCAGCAGCCTCACTGAGGGAAACCCAAGGCAGGCAACTGGGCAGCCCTGCCAGGCCCTGCCCCAGGAGCTCTGTAGGGGGTGGACTCACCTACCTTCTTCCCACCCCTCTACTTCCCTCTCCTCACTTCCCCTTCGGCTCCATGTGAATGTGTGTTCCGCTGGATGCTGAACTGAGCAGGAGCTCAGGCCTACTTCCTGGGGCCAGGGTTACCGAATTAGCAATACCTGAAATTGCCACTCCACCTTCTCCCTGGAAATCCTGATCTACATCTCCTGTAAGGGCCTCACACCCAGGGGGCCCAGGCTTAGTCATCCTCCTCCTCCCTCCATCGTCCCCCTAAAGGCTTAGCTTATGTCTTATGGGGTCTCCAGGGGTGGAATTTCCTGTCTCTTCTGACTGAAAGGGAAACAGTGGGGGTTTCCTATGCACATGAGTCAGAGAAGGTCAGAGGCTTTATCTTGTTCACACAGGTACCACTGGTGCTGGCATGCTTAGTGATAAGCGGAGGCTTACTTGGGACTGATAGAACCCAAAGCAGGCACTTCCTGGCAGATGTGTGAGAGATGAGTTGTCAGGCACAGGGACTGCAGGGCAGGCTGGGCCAGGAAATACCCAGAGAGTCAAGTTAGTTCCTTCCTTCTTAAGTGTTTGGGTGCAGAATGACTTTAATCTCAGTTTCTTGGTCCTTATCTCCCCCCTTCCCTTGCCCCTAACTTTCCCCAGCCTTAGCATGTGAAGGAAATCCTAGTTTCCCTCTCTGTTTCTTCTTTCCTTCCCCACAGAATACTTCCCTTCTGACACATCTGGTCACCGAATGTGTGGGTTTCCCCACACCCAGCAATTCTGCCACCCCAGTTGGGTGTTCTACCTTGTAACTCATTTCTGACATCCTCTGCCTGGAGACAGTGTCAGATCTCATGGGTTAGAGGTTCAGTCCCAGGAGATGGCCTCCCCCATTTCAGATGTCCCAGGAGGTCCTAGACATTGTGGTATTGCAGGTTTTAAGATCATGGTGTAGTCTTTAGTCTCCTCCTGTGTGGGGGAGGAGAAAACTTCCCCTCTTTCCACTTGAGTTCTTCTAGCTGATCTGATAGTTAAATTGACATGAAGAAGATTAATAGGAGAAAATAACCAAATTTAATTACATACGTACATACAGGGGTTCCCTAAGAATAAGGGGCTCAAAATCTGTCATCTTGCGCTAAGGAGAAAGGGTGGGGGTAGTGGTTTGGTACTTCAAAGGGGAGGAAGCCAACTCACAAGGAGGTGGAAAAGCAAATGTTGGGTAAACAAACGTTAGCTGGACCATCTTTAACAATGGGACACAGAGGGGACTCTGATCCAGCTTCCTTGCTAGGTTCAGATTAAACTGCTGCTGTCTGTGATGATACCTCCCATCATCACAGATAACAGCAGTTTATCTGTGCTGATGGGAGGTATAGGAGCAGGTCCTCTAAGTTTTTTTAAGTAGTGAGGGGGAAGGCCAAAGGTTCTTTCTGAGTTTGTTGTTTTTCCCCCCCAGAGAATTAGGTTAAAATAATCAGAATCCCAAAGAGGCATATTTTGGGGCGGCAAACCCTTGTTTCCCTTCACCAGGTTTACCCCCAACTTCTGTTCAACTTGGCTGCTGTCCAGAGGTTCCCATGACTTCATCCCCTGCGGGCTTGATTATTTGATAGAGCAGCTTACAGAACTCCGAGAAACACTTGTGCTCAGCAGTTGACTAAAAGACAGGATAGAGGATACAGATAAACAGCCAGATGAAGAGATAGATCCATATCAGTCATTTTCATAAAACATTCAGGTAAAGGGAATGCAGCTTCTTTACCTAAAGCTGGGAGGGCCTCTAATGCTCTCATCACTTAGGAATTTCCAAGGGTTTTAGGAGCCCCGTGTCAGGGGCTGGGGGCAAAGAGCAAATATATATTTCTTATTATAATATCATCGTATCACAGATCACCCCCAGGTGTGGGGGCACGAATTCCTTATAGCAAAGCAATCATAAAGTTGAAAAGATAATAGCGCATTATTAATCCCATTCAGTTTTAATAACTATCCAGTTCATCATCCTATCGTCTGAGAATGTCTTCCAGGGCCACTCGGGTCTTCAGGCTTCTTTTCAATCTTGCCCAGTGCCCAAAGCAAGAGCGGTGTCAGCAATTTATTGGCTTCCCCCTTCTAGGCAGCTGGTGTCATTGAGCTAAGAGGCAGTATCATCTCTTGCTCGGAGCCTCTTTTGAGGTGTTAATGTAATATTGGACCTCTCTCACTACATAATGCACTTCCTCATTCCCTTACCTTCAGCTACTATTCCTCCACTGATACCCAAACGTGTCCACCCTGCTGGTCTGGGTTGCAGGCCGCAGTACTAGTCTAGCAAGTGCCCTCCCCCACCTCTGTCCACTTCTGTTCAGAGGGGGTCAGGTTACACAGGTGCAGAACCAGCGGGCTGTCTCTACCACCACCAGGTGGGCGATCTAGCAGCGTTCATTGTTGGCCCCGAGTTTTGCCAGATGGACTGAAGGCACAGCCTGCCCCATGGAGCCCTTAGGAATTGTGACATAAAGGTCAAACACAGTTATAGTTTCTCGGGGTAGGAATCCACCCGCTCCCATTCCTTGTAGTGGTCCTGTGCCCAGTGGGCAGCACAGTTGAGTTGATGTGAGGCAGAAAGAATACCAGCAACTTTCCTTCCCTATGTCCTCTTCTCCAGATCCACTAGAAAAATAGGGACATCTGTCCAGTGGGGACATTCCTTTACGTCCCTCTGATGCTGAGTCTGAGCACACACTTGTGAGTGTGCGTTAGCCAGCCCTTCATGCCCTCATTTCCCCCCCCATTTACCACAACCAGTGTTTCAGTAGCTCGTCCCAATCCTCTATCCAACCAGTTCTCTGAGGATATCTCTGTCCATTGTCAGACATTATGGGCTGTAAAGGGTGCTCCTTGGCCTGAAGAAATGATGGTCAGCCATCCAGATGGGTACAACGTTGGTTCTTTTATAGCACGCTGAGTATTGGCAGCTACCACTGACCAGCAAAGCCTGGTCCAGAGTCAGAGTCTATTCCTGTCGGGACCATTTGTAGCTGCTCAGGGCTTGCAGTGCCAGATCCTCTTGCCAGCTCTGTTTGGGCCTTCCTCCCAGGGGATCTGCCACAAGGCCATCTGCAGTCTCTGTCTCCTTTGCTGGCAGGCAGAACAACTCTTACTGGACTTTTGTGCCTTAGAGGTTGCAAGGGGGCAACGTCTAGGTCCAGCCCATCTGTGCATTGCTGCAGCAGCCCCAGGCCCCCTCATTTTAAGGACCCAGGTGGCCACCTTCAGTGAGCATACAGGGACATAGGCTTGTTGCCTTCAGTCATTCTCTGAGCCTGGCAAGGGGCTCTTTGGAGGGACATAGTGATTTCCCCAGGGCTATACCCCATACAGGCACCCCTTTAATAGGCTAAGCTTCCTCTGCTCTCTGCCCGTCCATGTGGCCAGGTTGTTGCCGCTGCCCCGAAGTCAGTAAAAACCCAAACTCAGGGCCCCTTTCCATTGTTCTGTTCTTCTGTCTTTGCTAGGAGAACAGCCTGCAGCTCAGCCACAGAGCTGATCTGTTTCTATCTTGTTTGCTCAGAGTGGTGGCTTCACAAACAGGATGTTGTCCACTGACCATGGAACTGCCCTCCACAAGCCAGGCAGCTCCCTGGTTGGCAGTTAAGCGTCCTTTGTAAGGCAGTGTCCAAGTGACAGGGGACTCCTGCAGGCCCTCACACAGGTCTGGGGGCAGACCTAGGGGGAGAGCGGCTCCTGCTTGGCAATATCCCCTTCTTGACTCCCAGGCAGTGTGATCCCATATAAACCATTCCATTAGGAAACTCTCCTGGGCCCTGCCACCTGATTGGGGTGTTTCTACAAACAGCATTAACCTGGTGGTATTGCAGGTTTTAAGAATTGAAGCTACACCAATGACTGAAGAATACACATTCTTCAGTCATTGGTGTAGCTTCAATTTGTGTAGCTTCATTTGTGTAGCTTCAATTTGTGTAGCTTCATTTGTGTAGCTTCAATTTGTGTAGCTTCATTTGTGTAGCTTCAATTCATGTCTGATAACAAGATAACGAATGCCCCTCAGGTGGAAGTTCTCTAGTTCAAAGCCCAGTAGTTGTCGCTGGGAGGTGCCCACAGGCCTAGCTATCTTTGCCATCTCCCTGGCCTAGCTCCACATGGCTGTGAGCCCCAGGGTGACGTATCAGCCACTCTCATAAAACATTACGCAAAGGGAACACACCGCTTCTCATAAAACCTGTTTAAACAGTCCCACTTTCACAATCTGATCAACTTGTACACTTTCGTGTTTTCTTGTAAAAACTGTCATCCTCGTCAGAGCTTTGCCAGTGTGTTTTGGTACCTCTCTCTTTTCACCCTGGTATTTACCCACTCTTGTGTAGGAGGCTTTGGGTCCCCCATGAGGGGGTCAAGGGACTCTGGCCCTGATGTCAATCTTTAACTTGATGAATCTGCCACAAGCCACTGCTGCTCAGGTTTTTCATTGTCATCTCTGTCTCTGGCTTCCAACATGTCTCACCTGGGATAAATAGACGGGACTTGTTTGGGGGCACTTAAGGGCTGGGGATCTGAAGGGTTCTTTGCCCAGCCAGCCTTTGGTAGTGTGGTATCAAAACCTCTGGCTTAAGGCCCATAGTGCTGGCAGGATGGGCAAGTGTAGATTTCTTTGGGCCAGGAGGCTGAGGTCAGTGGGGCAGCGGCGTGATGAACTGAACCAGAGTGAGATCCCTTATCACATCCCACGTGGTTCAGGATTCTTGTCCAGAGTCCGGTTTCTGGAGAAGGCCGGTGCTCTGGCCGGTGGCTCAGTTGGTTGGAACATCGTCCCATGCACCTAAAGATTGTGATTGATTCCCGATCAGGGCACATACCTAGGTTGCGGGTTTGATCCCCTATTGGGGCACAAACAGGAGGCAATTGATCAATGTTTCTCTCTCACATCAATGTTTCTCTCTTTCCCTTCTCTCTCTAAAATCATTAAAAGAATATCCTAGGGTGAGGATTAAAAAAAAAAAAAAAAAAGAAAGAAAAGAAAAGAAAAGAAAATGTCTACCCTGCTAAAACCAGTCCCTAGCTTCTCTCCTCTGCCTGCCCCCATTCGCTTGTTAATGAACCTAATGCAGTTATTAACATCTGTAAGAGCCTGGAGGGGCAGCAGAAACACCAAACTCAATATGTATTCCTGAACTGTTTTTTTTTTTCTTCTTTTTTTTTCTTTTTGGTTTTGCAATATTAAGGTTAACCACAGCATTCACCATGACCTGGGTAACAGGCATATTCAGTGGGTTCCTGTCCTGGCCCTCATTAGAGACATTCCCAGGTGGTTTGCATACAAAGCGCAGCAGCTGCCTCATTGGGGGTGTTTCCTGGGCACAGATGGGGGACACGGCCAGACCATACAGTAGCTTTTATCAAGTGCACCAGGCTGGCCCCTCCCTCAGGAACAGCCTCCTGGTGTCTGGATCACACACAGCCATCTGCGATTGTTCCATGGCGAGCTGTGGTCCTGTCTCCACCCTGACATGCCTTTCCACCGCAGCATTCAGAACCAAAGACACAGCCCCAAGTAGGTTCCCCTCACCATCCATTTCAGTAAAGCTTCCTTGGGAAGCCAAGGACACCGATCCACGAACTGAACCGCCTCCTGCACGCTGTGCCCCTGGTTTCGGTGCTATCCCGGTTTTGCTCTCCTCTCACACTGACGGCCTGCAGCCTTCGTGGTGCCCTGAGATCTTAGAGGTGTACTTTCTGTCGTCCCTGCATAATTCTTCCCTTGGCGGGTGGCTTTGAGGCTAGCGGCTGCGGCTCAGGCTGACCCAGCTCTGAACTTGGCCCAGCCTCAAGGTCTGACCCAGCACTCTCTTTTAATTTCACTTGAGCTATTACAGCTAACGGTGACCAGGAGATTATGGGTTTCACCTTTTCCTTATTGGTTTGCATTTTCTTATACACTCAGTGAACCCGTTCTCAGACAGCTGGGTTATCTCTAAATTCTGTTGGTAAATTTTACCTTTGGTAACTTATGGTTGCACCACTGCTGGTCCGCACCATGGGAGAAGGGGACCATGTGGCCACCCAGGAATCAGAGGTTCTTCACCCCACATCCTTTCATCCTTTCTTTTCACAAACCACTTGAACCAGGGTCACTCTGGCCAATCGCACCTCACCAATACCAACTGTGTCTGAGAAACCTACCACTCTCCTTTCTCCTCACTTCCTCTCAGAGCACTTCCCTTCTGACACTCTGGTCACCACGTGTGTGGAGTTTTCCCACACCGAGCAATTCTGGACACCAGCTGGGTGTCCTTCAGTGTAACTCGATTCTGACATCCTCTACCTGGAGATAGTATCTGATCCCACAAGACTGCCCCCCACATTAGATGCCAACCACAATAGTAGGTTCCCCAGGTTCCCCACAACTTCGGCCAGACTTGGCTACAAATAAGAGGTTCCATGACTCCCACCCCCACCCCTTGGACTTAATTATTTGCTGGAACATCTCACAGGACTCGAGGAAGCACTGGCTTATATTTACCGATTCATTTTAAAAAAATATATTTTTATTGATTTCAGAAAGGGAGAAGGGGAGAGAGATAGAAACATCAATGATGAGAGAGAACCATTGATGGGCTGCCTCCTGCACACCCCACACTGGGGATCGAGCCATTCCTAGGTCGACGCTCAGCCACTGAGCCACACCAGCTGGGCTTTAACGGTTCGTTAAAGGGGAGGATCAAAGATACAGATAGACAGACAGATGAAGAGACACACATTGGATGAGGTCTGGGAGATCCCGGGCACAGGAGCTTCTGTCCCCATGGAGTTGGGGTGCATCACCCTCCTGGTATGTGGATGTGTTCACCAACCTGGAAGATCTCCAAACCCCTGGCTATTGGGATTCTATGGAGGCTCCTCAAGTAGGCATGGTTAGTCATGAACTCCGTTTCCAACCCCTCTTCCCTCTCTAGAGAAGTTGGGGGGCGGGGCGGGGCGGGGCTGAAAATTCCAAGCTTCACTTCATGGCTTAAGTCTTTCTGGTGAGCAGCCCCATCCAGGAGCCCGCCCAGAGTTGCCTCATCAGAAGGAGAAAGCTACTCCTAGAGCTCTTATCATTTAGGAATTTAAAAGGGTGTTAGCAGGGGAGGCAAGTGTAGCCCAACCCTCCTCCCCCCTTTCCTCATTTGCTTTCCTCGATTTTCCTTGGCCTCCAACCAATGAGATCTCCTTTAACTTCCATACTGTCTTCCACTTATAAGTAGGTTTACACACACCTGTGTTTTACATTTGACCGGCTTTCAAAAGGACTTTAATATATTTTCTTATATGTCTAATATGAGAGTTGCTCTGTCTCAGCTTTGTATTTGTGATAGTTTTAATCCTCTCTAGTGGACAGGAGTTAAGACAGATCTTTACCACGTTTTTATCCTTCGCACTTTTGAGGTAAAGAATGCATTTCTTGCCAAAACCGGTTTGGCTCAATGGATAGAGCGTCAGCCTGCGGACTGAAAGGTCCTGTGTTCTATTCCGGTCAAGGGCATGTACCTTGGTTGCAGGCACATCCCCAGTAGGGGGTGTGCAGGAGGTAGCTGATGGATGTTTCTCTCACATTGATGTTTCTAACTCTCTATCTCTCTCCCTTCCTCTCTGTAAAAAAATCAATAAAATATATTTTAAAAAATAAAATAAAAGGGTGTTAGGAGCCCTGTGTCAAAGGCCTAGGGCAAAGACCAAATTTACATTTCTCATGATAAATCACTATATCACACTTAAGCACTACTTTTATTACCCCATGCTTTCAAGAACCCAAACTGCTAAGAGATCCCCATGACCTTGGGATTGTGGACTTGAATGATAGTACCCTAGAACTTCCATCTTGAGGTCTAGGTCAGTCCAGACATTTCCTTTTATAGAAAAGGCTACTGAGGCTCAGAGAAGGGCAGTGCCTGTCCCATGGTTCCACAGCCAAGAGGAATCAGAACCTAAGGTTTTGATTTGGAGACCAGGCAAGTTTCTCCAAGGGACTGGCCTGGATGGTTGTCTTTGTCCTGCCCCTCCAGGTTTCTCTTTTCTTGACGAGACTCTCCATCTGCCATTGTCTATTTCAGATTTCTCTACACTAGTGCCACGCTCATCATAGCCTTCATCTCTGCAGGTGAGTACTGTCAGGTGGAGGGAGGGATACCCAGGAGCACCTGGTGGATGGGGCAGGTGCAGAAGGTAGTGGAAGGACACACTGACCCCCACGGTTATGTAAACATCACAGACATTGAGCTTGAAAGAATCCTTGAAAGAATTATTACTAGTCCATGGAAATAGTTTAGTCTGCTGAGAAATTTGAAAGCAAGGACAATGGAGGCATTGCTTCAGACAGTAGCATTTATTCAAGAGATACATCCTGCCTCTGGTATGTGTTAAAATGACCTGTCTCTTTTAAAAATGAAATAATAACATGAATGGCAGTTGCTTTGGAAAATAGCCTTCCTGCCCTAACCAGTTTGGCTCAGTGGCTAGAGTGTCGGCCTGTGAATTGAAGTGTCCCAGGTGTGGGCACATCCCCAGTAGGGGGTGTGCAGGAGGCAGCTGATAGATGTTTCTCTCTTATTGATGTTTCTAACTTTCTATCCTCTCCCTTCCTGTCTGTAAAAAAAAATCAATAAAATATATATTAGAGAAAAAGAAAAGAAAAGAAAATAGCCTTACTTAGTAGGGTAAAAGTGGACCACCCTCTGGTAGTCAAAAGCTGTCTTCTCAAATTTTACTGGTTTACAAACATAGAAAATGTCCCAAGTCTGGGAATTCCAAGCTGGTTCTTTAACCCTTTCCCCATTATGTGGTGAAGAAAACTGAAACTTCTCTCTGACTGGCTAAGAGATACCTTCCAACATCATTTCCCAGTGTCAGGTCATATGGCTCAGTTTTGGAGTCAGTAGCAGCACATCACGCGTGTGTATGTAGCACCTGTGCTGAAGGCAGAGGGTGACACTGGATCATCTCCATCTGTGCCCAGTTTGCACAGGCTGGGTATCTTTGTCCAAACAGACCTCCTAACCTGGCACCTGTAGTTATTTAAAACCATTCTCCTTATCACACCAGCTTCTTCTTTCCTAAAAGCTCATAAAGGATTTTCTAGTGCTGGGGTGTGTGACTCATTTGTGAATCATTGGAGGAACAATGCCTCCTTCCTCCATTAACATAGAGCTTTCTGTTTTGGGGGAGATGTCGGGACCACACCCACCCTATTGTGAGACCAATTGCAACCGACCTTTCCTGCCTTAGGAGACCCTTACCTTTTATAAAGACAGAAATGGAAAGGTAGACAGTGCGAACACAGCCCTGGGCATTTTACCTGCTCCTGAAGGTGTGGAACAATCGTTAATTGCTTCCCCGGATATTAGGAAACACACACATGCTACCCACTTGGTTGAGAAGTTGTTCTCTTTACTTTCCCTCTCAGTCCTCTGAGTTCATGAGTGGAGGTGTTGAGGTGGGGCTGGTGGGACTTGAACACGATGGCAGGAGCAGGTTCCAGGCTGGGAGCGTTCCGAGGGCAAATGCATCCGGTTACAATTTAATCATATTGTTTTCCTTTCATTGTATTTGTTTTCGAAGTTACTTGCTATTCATGACAAGCAACACAGGTTGCTTTTCATTTACAGCAGTGATATGAAATTTCCCTTAGAAATAATAGATTTCTTTTGGATAAAAGTGAATCAAGCCTGACTGGTGTGGCTCAGTTGGCTGAATGTAGTCCCATGTATCCAGAGGCCAGGGAAATTGCCCGATCGATCCCCAGCAGGGGATGTGCAGGAGGCAGGTGATCAATATTCCTCTCTCTCTCTGAAATCAATAAAAAAACATACTTTTTAAAAAGTGAGTCAACTTAAAACATGTTAGCAAATACTAATGGACGAGGTTAGGGTTAAGGTCTGCCTCAGGCCAACTGGTAGTGTATGGTTTTTTTTTTAATTTTAATTTTTAATTTTATTGATTTTTTACAGAGAGGAAGGGAGAGAGATAGAGAGTTAGAAACATCGATGAGAGAGAAACATGGATCAGCTGCCTCCTGCACCCCCCACTGGGGATATGCCCGCAACCAAGGTACATGCCCTTGACCAGAATTGAACCTGGGACCTTTCAGTCTGCAGGCTGATTCTCTATCCACTGAGCCAAACCGGTTTCGGCAGTGTGTGGGTTCTTGACTTCATGCAGGAAAGCTTTCACAACTTGAGTCCAGGTGACTTTATTTTCATTAAAGCTGGGGACAGTGAAACCAGGAAGGGGTTAAGGTAGAAGCAGCAGCAGGAGGGACCCTGGGTGATAATTCTGCCTTGCTCTCTAGAAGCATTATAGGAAAGAAGTGAATCAAGGCCGGCTGCTGTCAGCTCACTGAAAAGTCGGAGAAAGGGGGGCCTTGGAGATGGGTTCAGGGGGTGAGCCTGGGATGAGCTGCTGTTGCCCACTGCACCCCTAGTTGCAGTCTTGTAGGGACCCTTAGAGTTTAGGAGAAAGAAACTAAAAAAGCTCATGCCTGGGATAAGGCCAGGGCGTGCTGCTGGGAGAGCCCTCGCTGGCATCCTTTGTCTTGAGGGTTTGTATCTCCGTGGGCAAGAATCTTAGGGAAGGGTTTCAGCAGAATATTCATCAGCTTTCCATGAGCATTTTAAATATGCTGATGCATCAAAATGAGCATGTCTGGGAGTGTGGGATTATTCTTTGGTCAGCTTTACTGTTTTGCTTTTATCTTGAGCCTGTCTGGCTCTAGTCGGGTTTTTGTTATTTGTTCCCCTGACTTCATCCGTCCTTGGGTTTGGCTGGCATTAATTGGGACTCTGTTCTCTATCTCCCTGACCAGGGTGATTTAAGCTATTTATTCTCTGTCAGGGAGGGGAGGTAGAAACCATTTGTTCGCAAGTGTCCTTGATTAGGGTAGATCAAGTCTTGCAATCCACTAGCTGGCTGCAAGCTGCCCAAACTGGTTGGCCGTATTTAATTTTTTTTCTCTCAATTTCCCTGTTCCACTTGCCCAGGAATTTTCCTAGCTTCTTACTCTCCTGCCACACGAGGACAGGCATGGGTTATGGCCAAAATCATGAAGGTGGGCAGAAGTTTGTGGTTTGGGAAAGGCTAATTATTAAGCCACCCTTCCCCCCTCGGCATTTTAGTTGTTTTGCTGATATCCAACACTTTCCAGACCTATTATAATGATTGTATGTATTTATTTATTTTGGTGTGTCAGTCTTTTCAAGGGCAAGAAGTAGTCTTGACTCAGCTTGCATTTCCAATGCCGAGCACAAGGCCTGGCTTGAAGGAAGTGCTCAAAGTTGAACGAACAAAGGAAGACAAGCTCACAGCCATTTTCTCACTGAGATCTCACAGCACCCCGTGCGGCAGGAGGAGCAAGTGACGGAGCCATGGATTTAGAATCCCGCTCCAAGTCATGCTGTGAATGAGGGGCTGGGCTTGGGGAGTCCAGGCTTCTCCCCACAGTTTCAGGGATGAGTGGAGGGTCACTCTGGTTCAGTGAGGGCAGGGAGCAAGTGGCTTCACTTTGAGTCCACCTGTGCTTTTTAGGGATCCTGCCACAGAACAAGGACCCGCTTTGGCGGGGACTAAGGTGATTCAGGAGACCTCTGCAGGGATCCTCCTTTTGGGGGAGCCCAGACCAGTATCCTAAGACCCTAATGTCTAGAAGGCTGGGTAGATTTGGGGCCTTGCCTCCGGGGCTGCTGGGAATTTGAAGCAGGTGGGAAGCCAAAGTTTGAGGCTCCGTGTTTGGGCCACACTGTGAACCCACCCACCTTTATCTTTGTTCAGGCTCAGCGATGCTGCTCTTCCTGGCCATGCCCATGCTCACCGTCGGGGGAATCCTGTTTCTGATGACCAACCTGCAGGTGGAAGCCTGCCCACATCCCAGGCACCTGGCGGGAGGCTGGGGAGGGTTAAGGGCAGCAAAAACACTTTTCCACATCAGCTGCCTCAGCAGGGGGCTGGCCCACGCCAGGATGGTTGCTGCTGGGCAGAGGGTGGTCTGGGTATAATGCTGGCCTGACCCAGGCTGGGTGCACATTGCTTCCATGAATATATGTAGGTGACTCAGGCTGGTTATATGTTCTCCAGGTTGGGAACCTATTTGGCAAACACCGCTCGACCATCATCACCCTCTACAATGGAGCATTTGACTCTTCTTCAGCTGTCTTTCTCATCGTTAAGGTAAAAATTAGCACCAGGGTTCAAAAAGCTTTATTGAACCCTTATGTATGCTGGACACCTATCTAGTAAACTTTGCATGATGTCTCTCCATCATCCCTTCTGCAGCTTGAGATGTGACATTTGAGCTTGACAACAGGCCTGTCTGGTTCTAGAGCCTGAGCTTGTAAGCCTTTAGCCCCCTTTTTAAACTTAATAGGATTTTGGACAGAAGCTAAGGGAAGGCATGGCTACGATGTGGTTGGGTCAGTGTTAGGCATAGGGTGGGATCCCTTTGCAATGGGATATTTGCACATGTGAGCCTCTTGTTTGGACAAGGAGGTGGGAGGTGGCTACAAGGGACTGCAGGAGCAGATCTGGAGGCCTCTCCGGCTCTCCTAAAGGCTACTGTTGGGGTTCAGGAGGGTGGGTTGTTGCCAAGTTATTTGCAGCCCATCCAATAGCCATCCCTCCTTTTTCACTGCGCTGATGATCTCATCTGGGCAGTGCAATGCCAAGCCCAGGGCATGAATTTTGATTTATCTAAACCACGGACAGTCTCTTTCCCCCTTGTTAGTGGAGGAAGAGGTGGTCTTAGTTAATGAGATGAAGGGGGTAGATACTGGAAAGGGATATCTCCCTCTCTGATGGAAGGTGAGAGCAGAACGAAGAGAAAGCCTTTCTCCTTGGTCCCCTTCCCACCCTTCCTCTTTGTATGTGGATGTGATAGCTGGAATCGTGGCAGCCATACTGTGGTTATGAGGTTACTAGCTGCAGGACAAAAGTCAGTACACTAAGAATGAGTGAAAAGAATGAGAGTGTGAGTCTTTGACACCTCAACCTGCCAAACCTGGGACTTCCCTTTGGACTGGGGGAAGATTAGGAGGATCTCTGGGAGTCACCATCCAGACATGAGACTAGCTTGGTCCCATGAGCACCTTGGCTTGAAAGGTCACCTACAGACTGAGTCTCTGGGGTACTTACTCAAGCCTTCCTACCTCTGGTGTAAGAGCCGCTTTCTGGGTTGACCCTCCTTCCCCTGGATGTCTCTCCTTTCCTTCCACCCTCCTTAGAGTTGGAAGAAAAAGGGCCAGAGCAAGAGCTGGGGTTCTTAGTGCACTCTGACCTTGCTACTGCCTACTCTGACCTTGAGCAACTCGTTGCTCCTCTCTGGATGTCACTTTTACCCTCTGTAAAATGAGGGGGTTGGCTAGATTAATGGTCTTTAAACTAAGTATTGAAGGATTCCCTTTGATGCTATGTCCTTCACCAAGGAGAATGAGGGAAGAATGACTGGGATGCTCTCTACTGATGTGTTTCATGAGTTGAATTTTTGTGTATAAATTTTGTTTGGACAAAAAAAAAAAAAAAAAAAAAAGACTTTGTTGCTATTGGAAAAAAAAAATCCCTAGTGAGGAGGCCCCCAAGAAGACACACTTAGAGGCTCTACAAGGCTGTGGGAATGGTGACATGTTGTTTCCCCTGCTGCTGGTTAAGCCTCAGGGTGAGGGTGGGGCTGTGTGTGTATCAGTTCCTCTTGGTCAGCTTCCAGGATGGAGGGCAAGAGGACTTATTCCTGAAAACGAGGGTCCCTGCCCTTGCCTCTTTTTTATTTTATTTTATATATTTTTTTGTTGATTTCAGAGAGGAAGGAAGAGGAAGAGAGAGATAGAAACATCAATGATGAGAGCGCACCATTGTTTGGCTGCCTCCTGCATGCCCCCTACTGTGGATCAAGCCTGCAACCCAGGAATGTGCCCTGTCCAGGAATCAAATTGTGACCTCCTGGTTCATAGGTCAACACTCAACCACTGACCCACACCAGCAGGGATGCCCTTGCTTCTTACACTGACATTTTTTTTTTTTTATGACAAAATATGTACAGCATAAAATTTACCATCCTAGCCATTTTTAAGTGTGCGGTTCAGTGGCATTAAGTTATTTCATATTGTTGTACAACCATCACCACCATCCATCCCCAGAACTCTTTCCAACCTTGTAAAACTGAAACTCTGTACCCATTAAACAATAACTCCCTGCTCCCCCTCCACCAGCTCCTGGCAACCACCATTCTATTTTCTGTTCCTGTGAATTTGGCTACTCCAAGTACTTAGATAAGTGGAATCACATAGTATTTGTCCTTTTGTGACTGGCTTATTTCACTTAGCATAGTGTCCTTAGGGTTCACCCATGTTGTAGCATGTGGCAGAATTTTCTTTCTTTTTTAGAATAATATTCCATTGTATGTATAACCACAGTTTATTCATCCCTTCATTTGTGGATGGACGCTTGGGAGCTTCCACCTTCCGGATATTGTGTGAAAACTGTTGCTGTGAACGTGGGTGTTACACTAAGTTTTTCCTCCTTTTTTTCTGCAGCTCCTTTATGAAAAGGGCATCAGCCTCAGGGCCTCCTTCATCTTCCTCTCTGTCTGCAGTGTGTGGCATATTGTGCGTACTTTCTTCCTGATGCCTCGGGGGCACATCCCCTACCCCCTGCCTCCCAACTACAGCTATGGGTAAGGACTGTTGATCTGGTTATTTCTGGCCAGAGCCCCTCAGGTGATCTGAGGTAGGAAGCAGGGGCAGGACAGACATGGTGATAGTAGGGCAGAGGAAACCTCTCATAGAAGAGGAAGAGGGGTGTATTGGTTAGCTATTGCTGCATAACAAACAACCCCATAACTCAGTGGTCTAAAACATTAAGCACTTAATCTTTTTCATAAGTCTGTGGGTAACTGGCTAGTTCATCTGATCAATAGAGAAGCTGGGGGCTGGATGGTTTGGATAGTGGTCATTTACGGTGACAGGGAAGTCTGGGTCACCTGGCTCTCATCCTCCAGCAGGCTAGCTTGGGCTTATTCACATGGTGGTTCTAGGGTTCCAGAGAGGTTTCCTAAAGTTGAGAGTTGGAATTGATACAACATTGTGTCTGCTTTGTCCTCTTGGATGATGCTGCTGACAAGGCTGTCCCAAACTTAGGGGGTGGGAAACAGTTGGAGCTGCAGTCCCTTTGCACAAGGTGGGGAACAGAGGAGGTGAAGGAAAATGCGACTGTTTGTAGACCATCACCACCAAAAGCAGAGGGAGGGCACACGTTTGCCGCTCACTGACAGTTTGCAGACCCTTGTGCTTTCTTGTTTCATCTCTCGAACATCCTATCAGTTATATATCCTCTTCTTCATTTTCCAAATGGAAAAATGGAAGCTCAGAAGGGTTAAGTAAAAGCCAGGTTGCCAGCTAGGAAGAGGCAAAGTTGGGATTTGAGCCCAGCCCTGTTCTACTCTTCCTCCACTTCCCAAACTTTGCTGCATATGAGAATCACTGGGATCACTTCGAGGTTTTTTGAAAAATACGGAAGCCTGGCTCCCATGGTCAGGCATTCTGATTTCACTGGCCTGGGCTTCGACCTGGGCATTGGGGTTGGTGAAAGGTGATTCCAATGTGCAGTGTCATTGGAGGTCCACCCCACTGTGTCCTCCGGCCTGAACCCCAGGCTACACTCACAGTCCTCGGGCTGGTGGGGCTTCTGTTTCCACAGCTTGTGCTCTGGGATTGGCATCAGAGAGAAGAAAGGAGCTCTGGGATTGGCATCAGAGGGGACAGCCGCGTCCAAAGAGCTGGATCTACAGGCCAAGGAGTTCCTGCCACCAAAGGAAGGTGAGCCCTGCTGGGTAAGCCATTTCCCCTTCAGAGCCTGCCTTTCCCTCCGGCTGAACTGGCTGCCTACCTCCAGAGCTCCTCCAGGGCTCAGAGTCAGGAAAGGCAGGTGGAAAAGTCAACCCTCTCATTTAATAGAGTCCAGAGAGAGGCAAGCCTTGTCTCTTCTCCGTTTTCTGTTCCTCTTTCTCATCTTCTCAACTCCCCTTATCCCTTGAAGTCATTTTTCCATCATTGTCTTCCTTCCCCCTAACTTCTCAGTCCCAAGTCTGGTTTATTTGTCCCCATTTTTGCAGGTCTCCTGGGTCTGCCCTCTCTCTCTCTGTCCCATCTCCATTGCCTCCTCCTTTCCCTCCTCTGCCTGTTTTGGGCCTTCGGTATGAACATCACCAACCACTGCTGGCTAAGATAGAAATAAGGACAGGATTCCAGGAAGCTCACAAAATCAAGGGAAAATGAACTTGTGAGGCTCCAGGAAGAGCAGAATCAGGAGTCCTAGTCCAAACTCACAGCCTGTCTGCTTCTCCAGGAAGAACAATCGATTGGTTCACCTTGGGTGAGGCACAGAACACAGGACTCACAGGCCCATCAGACCACGAAGAACAGGGCAGGGGACATTTCCAGAAGAAACCTGGATCCTGGGACCAAACAAAACTGGGGGGGAGGGGGAGCAGGGAAAACAGCAGCTGTCTACCACTAACCCTTCGCTCATCTCTACCATTCTCCTCTCCTTGTCTTTCTGTTCACCACCCTGGCTGAGAAAGATTGATATAAAGTTGTCCCGACCCGCGGGGCAACAACGGGGATACGCAGGAACCACCTAAGAGAATGAAACAAACAAGGAACGCGAAGAACGGAGGCAAGACAAAGTTCTGATCAAGCCTCAAACTTCATTTTTTGAAATGGCAGTATATATACAACAGGAACAAAGGGGGGGCAGGGTTGCCTACGCAGAGGGGTCTTTGGCAGTGTATAATTGGTTTAGGCACTGAGTGGCAAGGTGGTAAGGTATCTGGCAACACAGGATTGGCTAACTGCCAGGGCTGTGTAACATTCCCAGGTGTAACATTCCAAGGCTGGGCTATCTATGGGGGAGGATCAGGAAGGGGAAGTTGCAAAGATGTTAAGCGGTAGGTTAATCTTATCTTCTGGCCAAACCCTCAGGGCACCGCATAACTTCTGCTAGAAGGAACTTAATTCTATTTCCTTAAGACGGAGTTGCTTGTCTCAACTCTGATGGCTCCCAACATAAAGTGTCAGTGCAAAAAGTGGTGTTGAATCCAAGCTATGAAAGACAGATGAGATTTCAACAGAGAACACAAGGAGGGTCATCCAAGGTGGTGAAGTTGACGACAAAGGCTTAGAGGTGGGGACGAGTGAGTTGCAGACAGCTCGGACTGCTCTCCGGATGAGTTCTAGAAGGCGAGAAGAGAAGGCGAACTTGGACCTCAGGCTGTCCCACTAGGGCCTCTACATTCCTGCCCAGCCCAGCCTTCCACTTGCCTTGTAATTCATGCCAGACCCTCCTTTCCCGACAGAGATCCCAGGACCAGGGCAGCTGGAGGAGCCCCGTTCTTTCAAGAGCTCTGTTCTCTCCCGGCGCTTCGCCTGGCACCTGGTGTGGCTGTCCGTGATACAGACGTGGCACTACCTCTTCATTGGCACCCTCAACTCTCTGCTGACCAACTTGGCCAGTGGGGACAGGGAACTGGGTATGTGGCAGGGCTGGGAGGCAGCCCACTGCATATCCCACTGGTGACTTGGAACCTCGAGGGTGTGGGGTGCTAAGCTCAGCAGGTCTATGTGCTCCTGAGGGAGATCTGAGCAGGGATATGGGCAGGAGGATCAGGCTGGGTAAGGGCAGGGGGAGAAGAGTCCTCTCCTGTAAGAAAGTTATGGGAATTTCTTACCACCCAACCCCGCCCCCCCTCTGTCCCCTCCAGTCAGCAGCTACACAAATGCCTTTGCCATCACTCAGTTCTTTGGAATGCTGTGCGCCCCCTGGAATGGCCTGCTCATGGACCAGCTTAAGCAGAAGTACCAAAAGGAAGCGAGAAAGACGGGTGAGAACCGGGCTCCTCAGGATCAAGGAGCAGGAGGGGAGAGGTCTTCATTGAAACTCCATGTCCACCTTCTCTTTGTTCTTAATTTTTTTGTACTTGAATCCATTCATCCATCCATCCATTCATCCATCCTCTCACCCACTAGTCATTAAGTGTCAATTATGTGCCATCTACAGTTCCACATGCAACAATGGATGAGGCAGATATGACCTTGTTGTCAAGCTGTTTTCAGTCTAAAGGTTGGAGAAAGGCAAGTATCAGTCATTGCAGTCCATGAAGTAAACCTTCAGGGGGCTATGGGGACACGAAAAAGGGCCCATACCTGGTCCAGGAGAGGATGGGATGGGTGACGGGGAAGGCTTCCTAGAGGAAGTGGCATCTGAGCCGGGACCTGAAGGATGAGTAAGAAGTGAGGAGTGAAGAGGAGGGTCCTGGGAGTGGCCCAAGAATATAGTGGGGTTAAGATGGTGAAGGAGAGAGCGAAACATTGAGGAATCTGGGGAATTCTAGAAAGAGATTCAGACTTGGCAGGGCACAGGGTGCTGGGGAGTGGTGGGAAAGGGGTGTAGAGAGAGAGAAGTAAGAAGGGACAGGCAGCACACCAGGTCAAGCTCCTTGGAGGTGTTGAAAGAAGAGAGGAGCACCGAGGTATATGAACCTGTGGAGGTTGGGGGTGGAGAGAGGCTAAAGTAGAGTTAACAGTTCTGCAGTTTCATCCATACCCCTCCCCCACTTTCTGGCACTGCTTCTCTCCAACCCCAGCTGGATGGAGTCTGTGAAAGCAAGTTTCCGACATCAAATCACTTCATCTGCAAACACTTCAGTTCGTATCTCTCACAAATGAGGCCTCTCGTACTCACACATCCCTATAATTTCATTATCACCCCTAAAACACTCCCAGTAGTTTCTTGCTATCATCTAATAAGCAGTTCTGTTCAGATTTCTCCAGTTGTTTCAAATAGGTCTTTTTACAAGTTGGTTTGTTCAAATGAGGGTCCGCATAGTGTATTTTTTTTTATTCAAGAAAGATAATCTCACTTATAATAATATTACAGGCAACAAACATTGATATTTCAAGACTAAAAGGATTTTAAGTATAATAATATTACCCACATGGTGTATTTTTGTTCGATGTTCCTTTTCTGTCTTTTAAAATCTGTATCCTGCTCTCGCTTTTCTCCCACCCTGTTGTTTATTTGTTGAAGAAACCGGGTCATTTGGCTTGTCAAATCTCCCAATTTTGGATTTGGCATCCTTTTCCTGTCACTGAAAAAAAATCTCTCTTCGATTGGGTATTTCTTGTAAACAGGCAGATTGGAGGCTGAGAAGTCTTGGTGTAATATTTTTTGGTGAGAATGATTCAGTGTGGAGCTCATTGGGCCCCTGGTACCGCTGTCCCTTCTTTATGATGTTAGGATTGATCAGTGGGTTCAGACACCGTCCGTCCGATGACCCATTATAATGTTTCCCATCAGCTGCCTGCCTTAATGATTTTAGTCGCCATTGAGGATCAATGCCTGGACCCATTATTGTATTAGGGTTACAAAACGGCGATTTTCCTATCCCTCACTTCCCTCCCGTTTTTAATAGCTAGAATTCCCCTGAGAAGAGGAACTTTCCCTCATGATCTATTTGTCATCCTGAAATAAATGCTTGCTTGTTCCTCTGTTTGCATTTCATAATAATGACGTTGCCTTAGCAACCTCTAGGGTGACTACCCGTTGTTTGTCTTTTAAGAGTTACATTTTAAATATATTTGAATGTGTTCCTGTCAACATTCTTCTGGATGCCCAAATTGTCCCATCTTTGGCCAGTGGATGGTTGGGTGCATGGTGGCTCCTCCTTTTCTCCCCATCTTCTCGCCTCCTCCCTGCCCTCCATGGCGCCCCCTCCAGACAGCCTCTCCTCTCCCCCTTCCCTTGAACCAGGTTCTTCGGCCTCAATCGCAGCCCTTTTCGCAGCAGTGCCTTCGCTGGCCCTGACGTCTTTGCTGTGCCTGGGCTTTGCCATCTGTGCCTCGGTGCCCGTCCTCCCCCTCCAGTACGGCACCTTCGTCCTGCAAGTGATCAGCCGCTCTTTCCTCTACGGGGGCAACGCCGCCTTCCTCACCATCGCGTAAGTGGGGTTGGGGTGCCTTACATAATGGAGGACACCCTGGGGCAAGAAGTGTGCTGGCAGTAAGAAATCAGGAGGAGGATGGACCTGGTGGTGGAAGACAGAGGAAGGTGAGGAAGACAGAATCTGGGAGCATGTGGAGGGGGTGATGCCTGGAGATGGGAGCTGGTGGGAGCCTTCATGTCAGTACTTCCCTCTGCCTGTCATCTGTCCAGTGAACTCCTATTCACCCTGCAGGGCCCTCTGTTCTAACTCTCCCAGGATAGAAAGTTTCTTGGTGCCATTGGCACCCAAGCTTGTCTTGCTTCCTCAGCGCATGCATCGTCAGGCATAGAGTGATCTGCTGATGTGTCTGTCCTTTCCTTGAGGCCTCCCCAGGGCACAGCCTGTGTCTGGGTCCCTACTGGTTTCCCAGGGCCTGGCGCAATGCCTTCTCTGTGCTCTGTGGTTTAAAAGGCTGAGCCACGGCAGAGGTGGAGAGGCTGTGTGGGGGTGGGTGGGTGAAGGCAAGCCTAGGACGGGGGAGTTGGGAGCAAGTGGCTGACAAAGGCCCACTGAGGCCAGGCCGCTATTGGGGGGAGGGACTCTGAGAAACTCACTGGAACCCTCTTGTCTCTCCTCAGCTTCCCTTCCGAGCACTTTGGGAAGCTCTATGGGCTGGTGATGGCCCTGTCAGCCATTGTGTCTCTGCTGCAGTTCCCCATCTTCATACTCATCAAAGGTCCCCTCCAGAACGACCCGTTCTATGTGAGTACCCTGGGGACCCTTTGACCAGCCAGGACATGCAGCCTGGGGCAATTCTATAATATCCCAGCAGGGGGCACCCCCACACCTGAAAGTGCCCTGACCACCGCACAGCTGTCAGCAGCATTTAGAAGGTCAGCAACGTGTAGAATGAGAGTTCCAATCAGTTGTTGGGAGAAAAAGAAAGGACTGAACCTACAACCGAGGAGAATTGCTAGATTGACATTGGACAACCCTCACTTCATAGTCAGGAGGGGTGTGTTTAGCTGGGGGGCCTTCACCCACTTCCCACGGGACCTTGAGCAGGTCACTGGCTGCTCTGGAAGCCTGTTTCTTCACCTGTGACATGTAATAAGATCCCTTCCCCAGCCCGCTCCACAGAGCAGAATGAAAAGGACCCGCTAGTCTTTCCTTGAGGCGACATGGTGTCTGAGTGGACAGTGGGAGAGGAACCAGGCAGAATTCTGGTCCCTTTGCTGGTGGTGGATGCTGCTCAGAGTCCTGGGTTCCGCCTCACTCCGCCCCTCCCCCTCCAGGTGAACGTGATGCTGGTGCTGATCACTCTCCTGACCTTCGTCCACCCCGTCCTGGTGTACCGCGACTGCCGGCAGAAAGCAACCGCCCCTGCAACCACCTTTTAACCCCCCGGAGGCTTTTGCTTCTCTTTCTTGGAGGACCCATGTCCAGAAAGACTGCCTACCCTGGCTACTTGTAGCCATTATTATTATTATTATTATTATTATTATTATTATTATTATTTTATTTTTAAAATATATTTTTATTGACTTCAGAGAGAGGAAGAAAGAGGGAGAGACAAACATCAATGATGACAGGTTCATTGATTGGCTGCATTCTGCATGCCCCACACTGGGGATCAAGCCAGCAACCCAGGCATGTGCCCTCACTGGGAATTAAACTGGGACCTCCTGTTTCTTAGGTCGATGCTTAACCACTTGCCATGGGCAAGTGCCACTATTTTTTTTTTTTTTTTTAAAGAAGAAGATGTGCCAGAACCGGTTTGGCTCAGTGGTAGAGCGTCGGTCTGCGGACTGAAAGGTCCCGGGTTTGATTCCGGTCAAGGGCTTGTACCTTGGTTGCGGGCACATCCCAGGTGGGGGGTGTGCAGGAGGCAACTGGTCGATGTTTCTCTCTCATCGACGTTTCTAGCTCTCTATCTCTCTCCCTTTCTCTCTGTAAAAAGTCAATAAAATATACTTAAAAAAATAAAGAAGAAGATGTATTTAACTGCCAGCCTGGACTGTTGATCAGCAGGAAAGGAATCTCCGTTGCCAGGCTGATTGGCATCATGTAGACCTGAGGCAAAGGCATGAGGAGGTTCTCCTTAGGTCCAGGGCAGGAAGCCCAGGGCCTCGGCAGACTTGGCCTAGGGGAGGTGATGTGATGGTTGGCCCTGAAGCCTGGATGTGCCTGGGCTCTGTGCTGTCAGGTCGTTTTCCAGGTGAAGTGCCAGGTCAGGTCGTCATGCCTCAGCTACGCTGTCTGGCGTCTAGAGTTGGCACCCAGCTTGCCCTCACAGGCACAGCCTTGGTGGTAGGATGGCAGTGAGCCGTGGGGAGAAAGAAAAGCAGACGGGGTGGAGGAGGGGTCCCTGGACCTAACTCCCAGCTCTGCCACTGATGCTGGAGGACCTGAGGCAGACCCTTGTCTGGTCTAAGCATCCACCTTCCCATCTGTAAAATGAGAGGGTGCTGGAGTGGAGGCTCTTTCTGATGTTCTGGAAGGCTCTAAGATCAGTGACGGAGTCAGGCCACCGAAGGAGCCTTGGGAACCAGCTGGCCTGCTTGACCGAAGGATTTCCGATGAAGCCTTTTGGGGCATGATTACTTAAACTTAGTAGGTTAAACAAAAGATTTCTCTGGGGGATAATTTTGAGATAAATAAAGCATCTCTGCCTAAGGCAACTATTGCTCCCCCTCTCCAGGCTTTGGGGCTGTGTGTGTGTGTGTGTGTGTGTGTGTGCATGGGTGTGTATTTCTGCCTGGTCCCCAGCCTGGGGCAGTGAGCACCCAAGTGGAGGTGGAGGAATCTGACTGCAGCATCCTGATGTGCCTGCTGGATCCACAGGTGGAACAGAAACCCTGAGACTGGAATCCACCCACCTGGTCCTGGGATGAGGGCTTGAGACCCCCTGCCCCAAGGAATCTCTTCCTTTGTCTCCTCTTCTTCCCTACCCCACCTCCACCTCTACATGGCACCCTCTCACCCCCTTGCTGGGAACACTAGGTGAGCCAGAAGGTCCCGTGTGGGTCTCATGCCTGCCACTCAGTTGCCGGGCAAGTCGCTGCACCATTTCTGAATCACAATTTCCTCACCTGCGAAGTGCAGTTAGTCATTTCTCTCCTGAGGGTGTTGGTGAGAATTTAAAGTAATTGCTACTGCTTAGCACATGGCTGGTACACATAAGTGTTTGTACTTTTATTTGCCCATGTCCAGAGAAGAGAGGGTAGCAAGGAGGGAGGAGAGGGGCCAGAAGGGAGAGAGATGGTAGATGAGGGAGATGGGAGAATCTGCAATACATTAGATGTTACATTCCACTTAGCTAGGAGAGGCCTGGGGGAGGACAGTGAAGGAGGGGGCATTCATTCATTCATTCATTCATTCAACAAATGTTTATTGAGCCCCAACAATGAATGGGCCAGGCATGGTCCTAACTGCTGGGAATATGAGATGTACAGGGTCTGAAGCCAACTCTATTTTGAACTGCTGAAAGGTAATTTCCAGGGGTCCAGGAGCCTGGGTCTGGAGGCCAACACCAGAGCCCTAATGGATATCTTTCACCTAATCATCCTCAGAAAGTTCCTGTTTTTGTCTTCAAGAAGACTCCCTGCTACCCACACAAAAAGTCTAGATTCCTGCCTTTCATTCAAGACTCCTAGCAATGTTATGCCAACCTCTTCCTCTCCCCTGCCCAATCTGTTTCCTCCTGAGGCCGCCTCCAGGGACACAGAACTCATCCCCATGGACCCAGGTTCCTGGTCTCTGGGTCTGTGAATGCCCACTTCCTTTGCACCCAGGGCTTGCCCCGTCTCTGCCAGGAAAACCTGCCTGTTCAAAATGCCAACTCCTCTAAAGAACGTTCCTTGGGTTCTCAGCAGCCCTGAGTTCCTGGCACTTGGTCACACCCTTCCTGGTGGCAAGCATCTGGCTCCTCGAGCGACAACCTCACCTCACCTGGAGGCGGCATCCGGCTCTCACCCCCTCAGTGACTAATGTGCGCTTGCCACATGTGTGGTGCCAGTTGGAGCTTGTTGAATAATAATCTCTAGGTGAATGGACTCTTTCTCGTTCTGGCCTCAGAGCCAGCTGGAAGGAGAGAGCAGAGCACCCAGGGTGGCGGGTCAGCGAGGTGCAGTGGGAGGACATGGAGGGGCCAGGCCAAGGGCCATTTCACTTCTACATCTCAGCTTGTTTATCAGCATGATGGGCAAAGTACTCCTGCCTCTCTGGGTTGTTCAGGATTAGAATTTAGTCAAGTGCCTCCCCATGGTAGGGGTATTCAACAGATCATAGCTATTATTACAGTTAATATATTAAAATAAAAAAGAACGCCGAACGTCCACCAAGTGGTGAGTGGAGAAATAAAATGGGATGGAGCCATTCAATGGAACATTATGCAGCAACACACAGGAATGGGGCACTGATAACAAGCTAAGACACGGATCAGCCTTGAAAACCCTATGCCAAGTGGAAGAAGCCAGTCAAAGGAGACACCTAGTCTATGGTTCATTTGGCTGTGAAATGTCCAGAATAGGCACATCTCTAGAGGCAGAAAGTAGAGTAGGAATAGCCCAGAGCTGGGGGAGCAGGTGATGATGGCTAATGGGGATGTAGGGTGATGAAAATTTTCTAAAATTGATAGTGATTGTACAAGTCTGAAATATACTAAAAATGATTGAATTAAACATTTTAAGTGGGTGAATATATATATATATATATATATATATATATATATATATATATATATATAGGGAGAGAGAGAGAGAGAGAGAGAGAGAGAGAGAGAGAGAGAACGTGAGCCTGGATTCCTCAGGAAGCACCAAGAACACATATCCAGAGAGTCAGAGATGATTTCTGAGCCAGATGAGTAAGCGAGAGAAGCAGCCACGTGCACAGCCTCCTATTTCTGTCCTGAGAGCCTGCCTCCTGTAACTTCTTCCTCAAATGGGACCAACCGCTCTTTCAAAGGAGGAAGGAGGCAACCCATGAATTTCACAAGTTTTCATTTCACTCAGCAACAGGGTTCCAGCTCAACCCTCCTCTCCCCTTCCAGCCTCAGCAGAGAGAATGGAGCAAATCTGTCTCCTCCTGAGGCCGCCTGCCCGGTGGGGTGGGCCTTCTCTGGGAGCAGAGGACTCTTCATGAGTTGGGAACACTTGCCATTTAAGGGCCAGCTGAGTCCGGGCTGGTGTGGCTCAGTTGATAGAATATCATCTCTTGAGCTGAAACCGGTTTGGCTCAGTGGTAGAGCGTCGGTCTGCGGACTGAAAGGTCCCAGGTTTGATTCCGGTCAGGGCCATGTACGTTGGTTGTGGGCACATCTCCAGTAGTGGGTGTGCAAGAGGCAGCTGGTTGATGTTTCTCTCTCATCGATGTTTCTAGCTCTCTGTCTCTCTTCCTTCCTCTCTGTAAAAATCAATAAGATATATTTTTTAAAATTAAAAAAAAAGAATATCATCCCTTGTACTGAAAGGTAGTTGGTTTGATCCCTGATCAGGGCACATGACCAGGTGGCAGGCTTCATCTCAGGTTAGGACGCATGCAGGAGCCAGTTGATTGATATTTCTCTCTTACATCCATGTTTCTCTCTTCCTCTCCCTTCTCCTATCTCCAAAATCAATTAAAAATATCCTATATAGCCGAAACCATTTTTGGCTCAGTGGATAGAGCATCAGCTTGTGGACTGAAAGGTCTCGGGTTCGATTCTGGTCAAGGCCATGTACCTTAGTTGTGGGCACATCCCCAGTAGGGGATGTGCAAGAGGCAGCTGATCGATGATTCCCTCTCATCGATGTTTCTAATTCTCTATTCCTCTCTCTTCCTCTCTGTAAAAAATCAATAAAAGATATTTTAAAAAATATCCTATAAAATAAAGATGTAAGTCAAGACCGGTTTGGCTCAGTGGATAGAGCGTCGGCTGCGGACTGAAAGGTCCCAGTCAAGGGCATGTACCTTGGTTGAGGGCACATCCCCAGTAGGGGGTGTGCAAGAGGCGACTGATCCATGATTCTCTCTCATCGATGTTTATAACCCTCTCTCCCTCTCTTTTCCTCTCTGTAAAAAAAATCAATAAAATATATTAAAAATAAATAAATAAAGATGTGTAATATGCAAATAGTCGTTACGTAACAACTGACCTCATAACAACCAGATCATGGATCAGCAGGAGGGTGGGGCATTGAGCTACAAGTGGGTGTCGGCGAGCTACAGGAGGGGGCAGGCCAGCAAGCCATGAGAGGGTGGGCAGCGGAGAAGGGCTGGGGGAGCCACAGGAGGGCGGGGCAGAGGGTAGAGAGCTACTGGAGGGTGGGGCAAGCTACTGGCAAGCTACTGGTGAGGTAGTGGTGCACAGATGTGTGCCCAGGGCTACTAGTTAAAAAATAAAAGGACAGCTGACAACATAGTGAGGGACTTTGTGTGACCGTCTCTGCCATCAGCGCCAGTTTGCAGATGAGGAAAATTGCAGCTGCTATTTAAACTCGAATTTGTCTGACTCCTAAGGTTTTTTGCCATTCCCTTTCTTTACGTTCATTTTTATGTAAGATGCACATGGTGGTTGTAAAACAGAGCAGGATATAAAGACCTGCATGAAAAACAAGTCCCGAGGCTCAGAGGGTGGTGCATGTGCTGGCACGTGTCCTGCAGAGTCATGCCAATGTGTGTGTGCCAAGGGAGAGGATCCCATAGACTTTTCTATGGCATCAAAGAGTCCTCAAACCTGTGATGGTAAACGACTTGATCACAACCCCACCCCATGGCCACATCACACCTCATTTATCCCCCACCCACCCGCTCTGAGGTCCCCTTCACATACATCTTGGGACGCTGTGCCCCACTCTCTTGCTGTCCCCCCTCTGCTGTCTGAGCAGGGGTCCCAGATGACGGGAGCTGTGGGAGCAGCTGACGTCAGCAGATGGGAGAATATAAGTGATAATAGAATCCAGGGGGCCCGCTGTTGCCAAAGAGGCACTTTAGAAGTTTCTAGGGAATGACAACGTAGCCATTAATCATTGTTTGTGCATCTACTCTTTAGCCAATGGTGTTGGCTGCTGGCTTCCCAGTGGCTCTGGACCCTTGTCCCCAAATTTGAAGCTTGTTCCGAAGCCCCTTCTGCCAACCCTCAGCCTCTAAATGTGTTGGGTGTTGGGTGTGACCTGGGCATAGCAGGGACTGCGTGCTCTAATAATCTCTGCAAAGGACCCTTCCCTCCAGCTCTACGCACAGGCTATGGTCCTTGGCTCGGCCATGGAGAGTCCCCAGGTGAGACATGTCTGTGGCTCCTGGGCACACGGCAGGTCACTGCCCACAAAGGAGCTGAGTCAATGGCAGGCAGGGTGGTCCCATGGGCCCTGACACCAGGGAGTTGGGTTATTTGTTTTCTAACTACAAAGGTGTGCTCCAAGGCCCCTCCGCGGTGAGTTGTCTGCGAGCAGTGTTACCTCCCAGGCCTGAACGAGGACTCCAGCCGCAGGTACCTGGGAAAGGCTCTGGGCTTCGCAGATGCCAACCAGTTGAGTGACCTTGAAGAAAACCTTAATTCTGAGCAGCCTCGGTTTCCTTGCCTGTCGCAGGGCTTGTGGGGGAGACTAGAGAGAACCTTTGGGAACCAAAGCTAGAGGAGCTTGGTCTCTGCCGTTGGACTGTCCCAGACCAGCTCCCAGCTCCTCCCCACGCAGGCTCTGGGGTCTAGGTGTCTCCGCTTCTCCACCTGCGAAATGGGAATAGCAATAAGAACACATCATGGAGCTGCAAGGATTGGGTGAATTCATGAACCTGGGCCCTTCCTATGGATCCAACCTCTAATCTCGTTGCTGAGCTTCCAAGGGGAATGGGGGGTGGGGGAGGGACAGGCGTAATTCCAGGTGCTCTTGTGGGGACTGTGAATTGCCCCATGCAGTGATGCGTATGTAGAACATGCTCAGAAGTCTCTTCTCGTGGATGACGGATGCCTTTTCAAGCTCCACCATTTACTGGCACGTGAAATCTGGAGCATCACTTAACCTTTCTGAGCCTTGCTTTCTAAAGGGGGATAATATTCAGGAGAGTCTGTTGAGGACCCACCACGTGTCATAGATCACTGCACAACCAGCTTCCCAGTGCATCCTTCTCAACCTCCCTGAGGCTGTCATCCTTAACTAAACTCACATACGGGCAAATGGAGCCTGATAGGTGAGGTGCCTGCCTAGCCAGGGTCCTTTTAACTCCAAGAAGCACGTTCTCCACGCTTCCTGTTCACCTGCCCCATTCATTCCAGGATCCCCGTGGGTGCTCTGTGCCATTTATTCACCCCTCTGGGGAGTGTGGTGTGGAGGGTAAGAAGGCAGGCTCTCCACTCATCCTGCCTTTTTTTTTTTTTTTTTTTTTAATATATTTTATTGATTTTTTACAGAGAGAAAGGTAGAGGGATAGAGAGCCAGAAATATTGATGAGAGAGAGACATTGGTCAGCTGCCTCCTGCACACCCACCACTGGGGATGTGCTTGCAAGCAACGTACATGCCCTTGACAGGAATTGAACCTGGGACACCCTCCCTCCCCCCCTAGGCTGAAGGCCAATGTTCTATCTACTGAGCCAAACCGGTCTCTGCTCATCCTACCTTTGACACTTACCTGGCAAGTACCTTAACCAGTCTGAACCCCATTCTTTTTTTTTTCTCCCCATTTTTTTTTTTATTGTTTGAAGGATTACAAATAGTAGTACATATGTCTTCTTTTTTTCTCCCTTGACCTCCCCGCAGCTTCCCCTACCCTCCACTATGCTTTCACCCCCCCCCCCCCCCATGTCTTGCATCTATTGGCTATGTTTATATGCATGCATACAAGTCCTTCGGTTTATCTTTTACAGCCCCCTGCCCCCAAACTTTGCCTTTCCGCTATAGTTTGACAGTCTGTTCAATGATTATTTATCTCTTTAACTATTCCTGTACCCCTATTTCTTTTTCTTTGAAAAATCTTGCAATTGCAGACTAGAAATAAACATATAATAACAAAAAACGTTTGAGTCCCAATTTCAGTGTCCAACAGTTCTGAGACCCAGTTTCAATGTCAAATAGTTCCTTATATCTACATGCCAGCAATGATATCTGGATGATGGACAGATGGTGGCAATGCAGGTCTGACCCTCTCTGGTTTGGTCCTGGGCAACCAACAGCAATGCACAGCTGTTGACTGCTAGCGTGGCCAGGCATCATTAGCGTTTTCCATCTCTGGGCTGTTTCTCCTCTTGTCTTCGTGGTTGGAGCAGACCTGACAACTCTTCTCTGTTGCAGGAATCCCCATGGTCTTGGAGTAGTTTTGTGAAAATATACAAACATATTCTCGACCAAAAGTTAATAGAGGAATCTTTTCTATAAAATTGACTTGGGATCCTTTTTATTTTTGCCCAAACGATTTTCCTTTGGCTTGTTTTGACACCATGCGTGATTTTCATGGGTGTCTTGCTGTTTGAGCCCCATTCTCTTTGTAATCCATGGTGGCAGTGGTGTGTGCCTTAGCATTGTTGAGAAGATTAAATGATATGGAGCCCCAGAAACAGCACGTAGAAAGTGCTTCCTGAACACTGGCTGCTGCTGTGATTGTCATGACATTCCTGCTCGAGATCTCATTTCAGGGCGCATCTACTCGGCTCTCCGGCTCTCCGTGGCAATCTTAACCAAGGACGGCTTTCTTCCATCACTCACTCACCTACGGGATTCTGGAGCATGCTCTTTTAACCATTAGGTTCCGCGGTGGAAGCCTTAGCTGCCTCCGGGACATGATTGCGTGGGGATGGAGCACAGCGGGGAGGCAGGCAAACTCCTTTACCCTTGGGTACATTTTGGGACACAGGACTCCAGCTCAATTGGAGATGAGGGATTCTCAATTTCAGGGGAGGAAGACAAGCATCCCGGACCCTCTCTGCCCTGGAGAGGTGAGCAGAAACTCAATGCCCAAAGCCCATTTCCTCCGAGACTCCTCAAATTCAGAGGGTTAGAGATGGGACCAGGGTGTTAGAGAGGCAAATGAAGAACTTTATTATTATTTTTTTTTTTTTTTAGTGTGGCCCATATCGGATAAGCTACTTTCTCAAGGTTGCCCAGTACGTTGAGAAAGAGATAGAAATCAAACCGATACTGCCGTTCTGAAACCTATGCAGGGCTCAGCCCTGTGCTGGGTGCTGGGCAGAGCGTGGCTGAAGTTCTGCTGCCATCTTGAACTCGAGGACTTCACATCCTGGTGTGGGAAGGCATTGCTTCCCTTTATTCAAATATTCCTAATAAAAAGCAAGAAAAACTCCCTTTTATTAAACATTATCAAGTGCCAGGCTCCTTACTAAGTGGTGGGTGAATGTTGCCTTGTCCCTCATAAACCTTCTGCTGGGGGGCCGCAGGGGGTGTTGTGTTCCAGTCGGTAAGGACCCCCTTGGGGTATTAATGTCAAAAAGGGGGCAAGAAGGAGGCATCTGGGCTCCTGGTAACACTCCTTATCTTGAGCTGGGCACGGTTATGCGGGTGCACTCATTCTGTAAAAATTCCCCAAGGAGCTCATCTACTTTACCATATGTCCACAAGTAAAGTTTTAAAACTGTAAATTTAGCCCTAGCCAGTTTGGTTCAGTGGGTATAGTGTACACCTGGGGACTAAAGAGTCCCAGGTTCAATTCTTGCACCTACCTTGGTTGCAGGCTCCTCTCAGCCCTGACCAGAGCTCGGGCCACATGTGGAAGTCAACCAGTGGATGTGTTTCTCTCACATCAATATTTCTCTTCCGTTCCCCCCCTCTCTCTTCCACTCTTTCCAAAAATCAAGGAAAAAATATTCTCAGGGGAGGATTAAAAAAAGAAAATTAAAATGAAATAAGAGGGCTGTCCTTCATCCAAAATATGGGCTTTCCCATTTCCAACAAGGTGCTAGCTAAGCTCTGTGAAGCGAAGGAACCCCTGGAGTTCCATTCATGGCACCAACACAGAGCAGGAGCGCGATCCAGCCAGTGCTCATCTGTGAATTCGGGTCCCAGTTCCAGTCCTGTTTCCTGACAGCCCCAGGTGTCAGGCACTCTCCTGAGAGCTTTACTGGAGCTGATCTCATTAGAGGCAGATTCTGCCATAGCCTCAGCTCCCAGATAAGGAAACTGACACTCTGGGACTTGCCAGTCATTTGCATCACACTACACTTTAGACCCACCCAATGCCTAATGTGGGACTGGACTGACCCTTGAGACAAAAGGCAAAGTTGGAAACCCCTTGGAACATAGATGCAAACATAAGCCAGACAGTTGGAGTTTCACGGATGCTGAAACCGGTGGCAGCTTTTGATGGACTGTCTGGGAATAATGCAGACTGTCTGAGGGTATCAAAGAAGCAAGGACCTAGGTGTCAGCCATGCCAGTCCTTTCTAGTTGTATGAACTTGGGCAGGTCACTGAACCTCTCTGAGCTTCTGTAGTAGGTATGTAGACTAGAGATGGCAATAACTATTTCATAGAATGATTATAAAAATTAAGTGGGGTAATGGATGTCAGCGGCTTCATGTAGCAAAGTGCTTGGTCTATAGTGGGTCTTCAAAAGTTTTATTTCCAGTTTTAAAACAGACATTACTGTATTCGTTGAAGCCATTGGAATGTCTTTGCTTGGCATTGGAGTGCAAACAAGATGGGGATGGGGGAACAGGCTGTAGAGAAAGCAGGTGACTGAGAGGAGACAGAGGGCAGGTAACCATGGGAGACAAGAAACTGGAAGGCCAGCCATTAGGCCTGTCTCTGACTTGCTGTGTGATCTGGGGCAACTTGTTCAAGCTCTCTGAGGTGCTGTTTCCACATCTGTAACACAGGGCTGTTCAAGGGACAGAGTGTTACAGACCACTGTAATGCTGGCTCTTGAGAGCAGCTGAGCATCTCTTCCAGCGAGTGATATGATGCCCCAGACCTGGGCTCCCAGAGGGAGGAGAATGCTGGGGAGGGGTCTACCTCTTCCATCTGCCCCCCCCCCACCTCCAGAGTGGACTCAAACTTTAAATCTAAGACCAGTTGGTCAATTTGTCAATTGGTCAATCCCCCCACTACCACCACCGCATGTCGGTAGATAGGCTGAGGATCTTGTCTGTTGGGTCAGAGATAACAGCCAAGACCGTTTTACTTTGCAATAAGGCCCAGGAATGACCTCTTAGACACTTCTCCACTTGTAGGTTGCCTGGGACACGGGAGGTAGGAAAGACTTTTCACCCCGTGGGCTACCTGTCCCTGGTGCCCTGAGACCTGGAGGGCTGGGATAGGGCCTGAGGAAGAAATATGATTGTCCAGGAGGAATATCACAGCGGGGGTCACCCACCCTGCCAAGGCCACTAGCTCCCAGCAGGGATATTCAGCAGTGCCAGGGCTTGGCATTTGTTGGCTTCTCTTTGGACTGCAGTGAATGTGGCTGGAGCTGGGTTGGTTAAGGCTTTTATATTTTACTCATCAGAGATGTTTTTGCATTTATTTTTCTTTCCAAGAAAGATTGCATGAAAGCATTATTTGACTACTGAATTCTTTAGTGCCCCCTTAAACTTTGCACCTGAGATGAGTGCCTCACTCACTGCCTCCTAGTCCTGACCCTGGTGGTGACAGAGGGCTGGTGGGAGATGAGGGTGGGGATGGGGAGGGTGGCCCCCAGGATATCTGAAAGATTCTACAGGAAGCTTTTCATGGCAGCTGTCGCCTCTTTGCCTGAAGATATGCCTTGAAGTTGGACTAAATGGCATTTTCTAGATCAGTGATTCTGAATGGATGCAACTTTGCTCCCCAGAGGACATTTGGTATTAGGTGGAGATATTTTTGATCCTCTTGGGGGACAATCAGATTGACAGGTGGAGGTACTCCTGACATCTAGTGAGTAAAGACCAGGGATGCTGCTAAACGTCTAAAGTCTCCCCTCCCCCAACACACAACAAAGAATTACTTTACTCCAAATAATAACAGTGCAATGGTCGAGAACCTTGATCTAGATCTATAGCATAGAAGAAAGAGCATAAGTTTTTCACACTTAAAGATGAAAAACAGGGAAGAGGGAGAACTAGAGTGAGAATGAGAAACAGAGGGAAGGAGCAGAGAAGGGATGGAGGAAAGAGTAAGAGAGAGAGAGAGAAAGAGAGAGACGATAGATAGATAGATAGATAGATAGATAGATAGATAGATAGATAGAAGGTGTGGGAGCCAGAGGCACTAGGAATCCCATTTCCATACTGCCTGTGCATACTTACAAGGGACTTTCCCTCTCTGTACCTCATTTTTCACACCTGTGAAGTTAGGGTCATCATACATTCTCATGAGAATGAGGAGAAGGTGAGGATTCTGGGATGGGATGCATATGAAGTCCCTGGTCTAGCAAAGCAATCAGGAGGTGATCACCTCCTTCCTCCTTGCTTCCCGGTCCCCCAGCATCCTAGGATGCTCCACTTATTGGCTGGGATATTGACCAGAAGAAGGCTGCTCCTGAGGTTAAGACTGGGGCACTTTAGGGTGCTAATAGTAAGCACATCTGGGCAGTAGACATCCGAGGACTTCTCCAGCACATATGGGTGTTTGGACACCCATATGTGTCAGTGGACCCCAGGAGGCAGGTCCCTGGAGTCCCTGCAGGGAGCCGGTGAGAGAATTGAGCAAATGCCTTATTATCAGTTCCCCTGCCCAGCACCCCAGCCTTGGGCAATCGTCCTGGCCTCTTCCCACTTCCCCAAAAGCCCAATATAAGGACTGCCCCTGGGACCCAGTAGTCAGAGACACCAAGAGTGGAGGTCTTGGGTTCTTGAGAGGTGAGTGCTCCTCCAGCTTCCCAGGGAGGTGGGGTCCAAGGTTTGAGAGGAAGCAGAAGCCTATATGGCAAACACCAAGGAGGCCTGTCCTTAGGACCCTGATGGCCACTGTCCTTTCACTCTGTCCTCAGTGTAGTAAAATGGGCCCTTACCCGGAGCAGGCCTGCTCCTGCAGGGGCAGGGTCTGGGCTAAGTGCCGTCACAGGTGCCAGTGATGGAGCCCTCAGGTAAAAGAGATTTTTCCTGCTTCTCCAGATCAGCATGTGTTCGCTGGGGAGATGGAAGCTCTCTAGTTTGCTTTTAATCAGCTATTCAAACAAACATTGCATCTCTGTTGTGTGACAGACACACAGGACAGCCCCAGGGTGGGCAGTGAAGCTGTGTCCCTGCCACAAGAACCAGTGACTATGAAACTCCCCCTGTTTCTGCTGCTCCTCCTGCTGGGGACAGCTGCTGCTCTTCATGTGGGTAAGTCCTCCCTTCCCTCCTCATCCAGCTTGACCCCTTCTCCTCTTTCTGACACCTCTTTGGCTCTCTGGGCCAGGCCTCAGTTTTTTCTTCTTTGGTGGCCCCAGCTCCTCTCAGGTAAGATCTCTCTTGGATTCAGAAATGTGACCTGAACATTCTGCTCCTCAACCAAACATCACCCATCTTCTCAGAGCAGCTTCTTCCTACCCCATATACACTCCTGCCAGCCAGTGCCAGGTGCTCATCCCTTTGTGTGAGTTCTCACCTCACCCAACAGGAAGGAGATCCTTCTGGCTAAGGCTCCAGAAGGAAGCACTAGGAAGGCTTGAGTGGGGCAGTCAGAGCTGTCCGTGGTCCTGGAAGAAGGAGACCCTGACCTGATGGCAGGTTACCTCTTCTTCCCAGGGAATGATGCCCCCTATCTGGACAGCCAAGAGTCACAGGCTGACCTGAGCCAGGATCTGGAAGGCTCAGGGGAGCAGGAAGGAGAGTCAGTCCTGACTGAGGAGGGGATTCAGTCTGAAGGAGAGCAGGTGGAGGCTTCCAGCTGCCAAGATGACTTTGAGGATGAGAACGCCATGGAGTCAGACTCAGATGACCTAGATGAGAACTTCCAGTGCCCCAGGGCAGAGGACACAGTGGAAATAAGCGGCGGTCCTGAGTGTAAGACCTGCCGCTATGTGTTGGTGCACACCTGCAGAAGATTTGCAGGCGCTCGGGTAAGTGGCAGGGAGGCTACTGTGGAAGGAAGCCCAGGGGTAGGAGAAGAGAGTGGATTCCACCTCCTGTTTTCTATCCATTTAGACTAGTGGTTCTCCAACCCTGATGTGCAGCAGACTCTCCTAGAAATATTCTTGAAGCATAGATTTCAGGGTGAGCAAGTCTGGGGTGGGGCCCAAGAGTTTGCCTTTAGGACCCAGGGTAGTGGAACGGGCCCTGATTCTGAGCATATCTGTGGAATGGGATGATGATTGATGATGATGATGATGATGATGATGATGAAACTAAATTGTAGTTGGTTTGGAGACAGTACTTTGAGAATCACTGAATTAGGCAAAGAGCTTTGGTAGGAGATATACCTGTGTTAAACCCTGGCTCCACCTGTCGTTCGTATGTTACTTGGGCAAGTCACTTCACGTTTCAGAGCTTCAGGACCCTCACTTGTACAATAGAGATATAGAGCACCAATCTCTTAGGCCGTGGTGAGGATTAAACGGGGTAATACATGGGAAGCATTTGGAACAGTCCTTGGGTGATTGTGAACTCCCAGTAAACAGTGGCTAAGATTATTCTCAGTATTATTATTATTTTTACTGAAGTTCCTGGTGACAGATAAAGGAGCAAGAGATAGGCTTCAAGGAGCAAGTACATCCCTGATTTCTGACCTCACCAGGGCTGAAAAGTTCACTTCTGAAGTCTTAGGAACTTGAGTGGGGGGAGGGGGGGACCCCGCAGTGAATTATCTACCCCCACCTCTTCTTTTTGCAGAAAGTTTGCAGGAGGTGCTATCATGGCAACCTCGTCTCTATCCACAATCTCTGCATCAACAATCAACTCCAATCCTTGGCCAGTAGGAGCAACCAGGTCCGGGTCTGGATTGGAGGCAGAATCAAGGGCTGGGTAAGTGAGGGGCCACCTCTCAGGTGCAGGAAGGTCTCCCTGGCATCAGGCCTCATGCCAGCAGCCATGTGACCTTCCTGTGGGAAGCAGTGGGGGAGCTGGCTGGTGCTGGCTAAAGAGAACTAGTGATTGTGCACCTCTCTTCCCAAGTTCATGTTCAGTAACTAAATCAGTCATTTTGTGCCTGTGGCATAAAATCTGCCGTGGCAGGTGTACTTACCCCATGCAAATAGGCTATTGTTACAAATCAGGATTCCTCCCTTGCTCTGCCTTCTCAGTTTTCCCCAGAGCTGGTTGATAAACAGTTACCAGCACACCACTGGAGTCAGGAGATCTCTTTCTTGCCCAGTGTGCACTCACCAGCTGAATGGATTTCTCATGTCTAGTAAAATGGGGTCCTTCTCTCCACAGTGATTCTGGGATAGTGGGTGAATAAGTGCTATTATGTTTACGACTTAAGTGTGGTCCATGGACCAAGCAGTATTAGCATTGCCTAGTAGCTTGTTAGAGATGCACCGTCTTCAGCCCATCTGAGACTCCTGAATCAGCAACTGCATTTTAAAAAGATCTGCAGGAGACTTGTATTCACAGAAAATTTGAGAAGCCTGGTGTGTGAGGCGGACACACACACACACACACACACACACACACACACACACACACCACTACTCTCTTCCATTGTGGTCGCCTGTGTACCTCGAGGGGTGGATCTCTTGAATATCTGGCTCCTAGCTGGAATGGGCAGGGCCCAGAAAGGGACGCTCAGTGGGCATTTTCTGGAACCTCTGGATCTGTCTGTCTTCCTGGACCTCAGCCTCTGACCCAACCGACCCCTCTCTCGTTCTAGTGCTCCAGGTTTCGCTGGATTGATGGGAGTGCTGTAAATTTTAGTAACTGGGCTCATCATCCTGGGTGCGGCCGCTGTGTGAGCCTATGCACCCGAGGTGAGGGGGCCTGGGAACCAGGGCAAAGGGAAGGGATGGCAGGGTGGACTCTTACACACTGTCCCTTTGAGCTGCCTGAGCACATCTCCTCCTCAAACTCACAGTCTCCCCACAACTGGAGAAGCAATGTGGGGAGGGCTGTGAAGTAGAGTGAGGGGGTGCCCTGTGTGAGGGCTGGATGGGAGCTCCCCATCCTCACAGAGGAAGCTTGGCTGGGGGCCTGGGAGCTCCTTTCCTTCCTCTGTTAATGAAATGACAAATGAGGTGAATGAAAGGTGTGGAAGAGGGACAAGGGAGAGATGTGGGAATTAGGAATGGCTGAATGCCAGAGGTGAGGGGCTCAGGACTATGGCTAAGACCACATATACTGGAGGAAGGCTGCCACAATTTCCATCCCAGCTCTGCCACCTTCCCACTGGCATATAGGCAAGTGATTTCCCCGCTGAGCCTCAGGTTCCTCATCTGTGCAATGGGGATGACGCCATCACCTCCCTCTGGGGGTCATTGTGAGGATCAGCCAGGAGCCCACAGAAAGCACTCAGCACCCTGTTTTCCTGGGGTGAAAATTTAACAAACACAAGCTATTGGAGGGGTGTGTGGCAAACATAACATGACAGTGGGAAGGCTAGGGAGGCATGGGCCACACTCTGACGGCAGTTGACATCACTGTGTTCTCTACTGCTAGGGGGTCATTGGCGACGAACACGTTGTGGAAGACGTCTGCCCTTCATCTGCTCCTTCTAAGCCAGTGGCATGGAAGAGATCCTGCCTTGGTGTCCCCTCCCTGCATCCCTCCTGGCTGCCCCTGGCCCACCCTGGGCCCTGTGCTCTCCTGATCATAAAGTCATGTTTCCCACCGCATTTCCTGACTCTTGATTCTTCATTGCTTACTAGAGGACTCCTGGGGGTTGGAAATCCTGGAAGCCCTCACTCCTACAGGGTGGGGCTTTGAGGAAAGTAAAGGATGTTCCAGTGGCCCACCTTGAGGTGGAAATTGGGGTGGGGCACTGAGGAGTTTGGCTGCAGCGCCACCTAGGGGCGGAGTCAGGGCTGGGTGGTTCTTCCAAGACCCTTCTCAGCCTAGGCTGGGGGATTCCACCCCTTCCCTGTCCTCCACCCCCAGACCCGCACCCACTCACGATCTGGAGGAAGTTCTCATTGGGTGGGGTCTGGGGTGAGGGGAATGGCCCTCCTGCTTTGTTTGGATTCAGTATAGGGTACGGGGTGGGGTGGGAGTGGGGCAGCTTTCCAAAATGAGAGTGATATCACTGATTCAAGAACTGGAGGACTGTTCAAAATCTGAGTACATTTAAAGATGAAATTGGCTTTAACATCGATTCATGAATCAGGCAGCATCCCATCCAGCAAAGAGAAAGAAGCGCTGAGAAGCTGTAAAAATGCAAGGCGTTTGTAGGCGGAAGGGAGCAGAAGGAAGGTTCTCACAAAGAATGCATTGTTTCAGGGGAGGTCACCTTTCTTTGGAAAGGGTCTTTCAAGAGGATTGCCAGCCCTAGCTGGTTTGGCTCAGTGAATAGAGCGTCAGCCCTAGGTCAGGGCATGTATTTCAGTTGCAGCTTCCATCCTGCCTGCCCCCCCCCCACCCCCTGTGCATGTGTGGGAGGCAGCCAACACATCTCTCACATTGATATTTCCTTCTCTCTGTCTCTCTCCCTCCCTCCTCACTCTCTGTCTCTCTAAAACAAACAAACAAACAAACAAACAAACAAACAAATAAATAAATAAAAAGAATTTATGGAAAAATATCCGCAGGTGAGGATTTTTTTTTTTTTTTTTTTTTTTTTTTTAAAGAATGACCTCACTAGTGCTGACCAGACAATTTCAGATTGACTGGGTAAGGGTGGCATTCCTTGGGGAGGCTGAGACTGCACTAGGTTAGGTATTAAGTCTTGGTTTGGATGGGCTTAGCATAAGTGACTCCATTTGGGGCCTGTTTAACAGTTGTGAGATCCCACCTGCTGTAACCACAATGGCAGGGAGGGGAGAGTAGCCTTGCCTAGCCCTGTGCCTTTTTGGCCTGATCCTGGCCCTTACTTTCTATTCTGGCTTCTGTAAATGTTAGCTTGCTTAAATAATAGGGGAAAAGAAGGCCGCTCCCATTCCAGAGAGGCCATATACTATGCTCCAGACAGAGTTGTCACTGCTGGTACCAGGCCAGGCCTTGAGATGTGATCCCCATGGCCTTTTCCCAGCACACAGGACCTCTTTCTCAGAAGGTCCAGAAGTCTCATTCCAGATTTGGAAGACAAAGAACTCAAAAACATATAAATAGGAAAGACGTCCTTTATTTTGACCCTAGAACTTGAGAAGCGATATTTCCTCCAGGCCCATTAGCTTTAGTGAAATGAAAAAGACTCCAAATAAATTTGGCTTATTGATGAAGGCATCCTTTGATTTACATTATAACACCCTCATTTCAGTTTCCTAACTTACTAAGCCTTTGTTTCTTCTTCTGTAAAATGTGGGTTGAATTAGACAAACCCTCTAATGTAAGTAGCCCATTGCTTGACCATAGCAAATTCTCACTAAATGTTAGCTTTTATGCTGAGTAACTAAAGAAGCAATGTAGAAAAAAAAAAAAAAAAAAAAAAAAAAAAAAAAAAAAAAAAAAAAAAAAAAAAAAAAAAAAGAAGCAATGTAGAGTTAGGAATGAGCGTGGGTCCCAGTTCCAGTTTCCATATATTGTCAGTTTCTTTTCTATTACACAGGATTCATAACGGAACACAGCAGCTTCCCCAGGGCTGGTGGGTGATTATGTGGGTGATGGTGCGGAGGACACCATGAGGCAGCAGAGAGAGAAGCTCACTATTGTTGTTACTGCTGATACCCGCCTAAGCCCAGCACACAGAAGCGGCCACTTCGCTCAGCTGTGGGGAGGACAAGGTCAGGCTCACACTCATGGGTTCACACATATTTGCTGGCAGGCTCAGGACCACCCAGCCTGGAGGAAAGGGAAGGGTTGGAGGAAAGAATTCCCCCAGGACTGTGTTTCCCAAAGTACGTGTACCCCCCAGGGGTACGGGAAGAGTTTGGTGGGGATATGCACTGCACCGTGCTTAGCTGTGCCTAATTCTACGTTCTCATGAGTACGAGGGGTACTCAGCGTTACGAAAATTATAGAAGGGGTACACATATGTTAAAAGTTTGGGAAACACTGCCCCAGGATATAGCTGTCTGGATCTCCTACTCAGAGAACATCCCTGTGACCCTAGCTTTCTGAGAGCTGGGTGCATGGGGATGGGAAGGGGGGTGCCTGTGGGCCTCTGGGTGGAGAACACGATGCTGCCTTCCACTGAGGGCTGCTGGCCAGATCTCCAGACACTGCCGATCCCCAAGGCCGTCCCTGGGGAGGTGAATCCCACCTTCCTGAGGGTGGGGCTGGGATGAGGCAGGGTGGGGGGAGGGGGAAAGGACCTTGTGTGGGAGAATCTTACCCCTTCGCCCCATGGGTCATTGGGGTGGGGCCTTTGAAAGTGCCCATGGCTTGATCCTCCCAAACTACAGCATGGGATCAGAGCTGTCTCCCCCAACCCACCCTCCCCGCCTGTCCTCTGCACCACTGAGGAGAGGCCGGCCCTCCACCTACAATTCAGCTCCTCTCTGCTCAGCCCTCAAGGTCATGCCCACACTCCAGCTCCTCCAGAGTGGTTTGCCCGGAACTTGTGGAACATACTTCAGGGCTGCTCACTTGCACGAACTCCTTCTATTACCCAAATGTGTATTATTTTTTTAAAGATGCCCCAAGAGGTATATGCTTTAGGCTTCATAAAATCGAGATCTGCCTTTGAGCTCTGCATGGGAGGGGATATGGAGGCAGGGTGGACCTGGCGCCCTCTCACAGCCCTGCCAGCGCTCCGTCCTTCCTCCTTCCCCGAGTGCCAGGGTACTAACCACAAGACAGTCAAACCACGGGACAGCCCTTTCCCGTCTCCCGCCTCAGTTTGCTGTTGGTAATTAGGAGTCAGGCGAGATGGTTTCTAAGACCCTTTAGCTTCTGGTATGAGGAGACCGACCACCTTATCAGGACCCTGGGGGGACAGGCCTGGCTCGCAGGGCACTGGGGCTCACGGGGGCCTTTGCACCAGCGTTTTTGAGGAGGACGCTAGCCACTTGGAGCAGGGCCTCAGGTCTGGGAATCTCCTCCCACTGGGGCGGCCAAACCGGTTCCTGCAGGGAGGGGACAGATGTGTGTGGGAACATCTAGGGTCCCGGTGTGAGAACAGAGCTATGGGGGGAGGTAAGAAAAATTCACTGACAGGCAGGACTCCTGTTTCCTTCTCACCTGAGTCAGAGAAAGAGCTCCCATCAGTCTCACTGGTCTCCCCTCAAATCGGGCCCAAGTTCCTGGGGTGGGGCCAGCCTGGGGCTTACTCTTTTTTTTTTATTTTTTTTTATTCTTACTGATTTCAGAGAGGAAGGGAGAGGGAGAGAGAGATAGAAACATCCATTATGAGAGAGAATCATCAATTGGCTGCCTCCTGCAGGCCCCCCTGCTGGGGATCGAGGCGGCAACCTGGGCATGTGCCCTTGGCCAGAACCGAACCCGGGACCTTTCAGTCTGCAGGCTGATGCTCTATCCACTGAGCCAAACAGGGTAGGGCGGGGCTTACTCTTTATTAAGCTGAACCTAATCTTGGTCAGGGTGGAGGAGGCTGAAGCAGCAGCGGACACCCGTGGGAGTGCCTTTTCTCTCGTGAGGTGTAGGCAATGGAGACCTGGGTTCAAATCCCAGCTCTCTCCATGCCTGGCTGTGTAACCTTGGGCAAATGATTCAGTCTCTCTGAGCCTCAGATTATCTTCAAAATGGCGAGCCTAATATCTATGTTATAGGATTCTTCTAAGGATTAAATGAGATAGTGTGTGTGAAGTGCCGGGCACTTGGCAGGCACTCATTATTACTATTATTATCTCTATTCTTTGGAAAGGGGAAGACTCAGGTGCTGCTGCCCCGGGTGGTGGTGGTGGGGTCCTGGGAAGCAGACAGGGGCCAGGCAAGGGGTGAAGGTGAGAGTGAAGGCTCAGTGGGGGGCACTGGGAGGCCCAGACGCCTTCCAGCTGTGGCCCCGTGGGATGAGCAGCAGAAGGGAGAGTCCGCCCTCTCCCATGCCCCTTGCCCAGTGGGGTCCTCTGTTGGGAGGTCTGGAGCCCAGCAGTGCGTGTGGGGCCCTGGGTGGAGGCCCTAGTGGCCGATGGAGAAGGCCCCCGAGTCAGTGGACTGCTTCTCCTCTGGGGTCTGGTCGCTGGGGAACACTGGATTGGCCGAGGCAGCGACCTTCAGCGTCGTCTCGTTCACCTGCAGGCAGAGGACTGGCATGAGGGTGCTCTGACTTTGGGCAAGGGCCCCACTGGACAGACTCAGCAATCGAGGCGCCCAGCCTGGTCTTCGGGGAGCTACAGCGGGTCTGTGGGATCCCAGGACTCCACCCAAGCATCTCAAGGGCAGGCAGAACTCAGAGCCAGCCCATAGGAGCATTAGTCCTGCCCCAGAAATGGAGAGGGGACAATGAACGGATGGGGTGGGAACGGCGACCACCCACAGAGCCATATGGTTCTCACAGAGTCTGCTCTTGGCCAAACATCCTCTGGTGGGGAGCCCCAGTATGCCCTGAGGCCCAGTGAACTTCCCTTCAGAAGCCCCTGGAAGGTGAGCTCCTGGGGTCCCAGGGGCCCTCCCTGCCCTGTCTCGCTGCCTCTCCTGGGCCCCACTCACCTCCTCAAACTTCTTGGCTTTGTATTGGTCGGCCCCCTTCAGGAAGTTGAGCAGGATGATGTCACAGAGGACAGTCCCCTGGGGGAGGAAAGGAGGAGAAGCGGGCAGGCCCTGAGCTGAGGGGCACTGGGCGGGACTGGCCTGGGGGCGGGGCTGTGTCTGAGTCTCCGCCCCCACCTTCCTGGGGAGGCCCAGGAACCTTCTTGTGCCAGGCCAGCCTCCTGCAGATGGGAGGCTGCTGAGGAGGCAGGGAGCTCCCAAGGCTGCAGGGGTTCAAGCATGGCCCAGCGGGGCAGGGAGGTGGTGCCGGAGACTAAAGCACCTGGCCAGAGGCTGAAGTGGGGCTTACCTGGATTCAGTTCCCTGCCCACACCTGCCAGCAGGCGCCTCACCCTGACTGGCCACCAGTGAGAGCCTGCGGGGCTGAACTCACCACTCCCACAGAGGTGAAGGCGGCCACGGAGCTGATGATGGTGGGGATGATGTTGAACTTGCCTGCCTGTATGCACAAAGACCAAGGCGAGTGGGCGGAGTCCAGCAGGGCAGGGGTGGGGCCAGAGAGACCTGGGAGCAGCAGGCCCCACCCCTTCATGGTGCAGGTATGGAGACGGGGAGTTGAGGGTCTCAGAGCTGGTCAGCAGCAGGACCCTGCCCCTCACCCCTGCCCAGGAGCCTTCTCCAGGCCCAGGTTGGTCTGAAATTCCTTCCCCCGTCCACCCACCCTCCCGCCCAGCCTGAGGACTCACGTTCCCGTACACCAGCACATCGAAGCGGATGCCAAAGGCCTTCAGGAGCGTGCGGTACTCGCTGCCATTCTCCAGCTTGTAGTACTTGGCAAACCTGGAGGTCAGAGGCGAAGGTGGGTCCCACTGCGGGCTCCGGCCTGAACCTACGAATGGGGTCCTCTGGAGCCTACGACCGTCCCTTCCTGCGCAGCCCGTACAGGGGGTTTGGTGGGACACCTGCCACGGTCCAGCCTGGGTGGTCAGCCAACCCCCTTCACAGACAGCACCTCGGGGGGCTGGTTACAAAGACAGCTCCCCCGGCCCCACCCTGACCCCATGGAATCAGCATCCCGGTGGGCGGGGCTCAGGACTCTTCCTTTTAAATAATGTCCCTCCATAATTCTGATGTGCGCGAATGTCTGAGACAGGACTCCATGCTGCCTCGGTTCTACCTGCTTGGGTGGCCTGGGCCCCGGTCTGCTCCCCTCTCCACAGGTTTCTCAGCCGGCCTGGGTTCGAGGCCTGGCTCTGCCGCGTAGCAACTCCCCAATCCTAAGACGCAAAGGCTTGGAGGAGAGGGGCTAGGCCCGTGGTCGGCAACATCATTAGTCAACAGAGCCAAATATCAACAGGACGACGATTGACATTTCTTTTGAGAGCCAACTTTTTTAAACTTAAACTTCTTCGGATGCCACTTCTTCAACATAGACTCGCCCTGGCCATGGTATTTTGTGGAAGAGCCACACTCAAGGGGCCAAAGAGCCACATGTGGCTCACGAGCTGCAGTTTTCCTGAAGGACTCTGAGGTCTGGCACCAGGGCCACCCCCCAGGCATCAGAGGCAGGACGGTTCAGCTTAAGAGCAGGGCCTTGGCCCAGCCAGTGTGGCGCAATGGTTGCATATTGGCCTATGATCCAGGAGGTCAAGATTTGATTCCTCATCAGGGTACCTGCCCAGGTTGCAGGCTGTCATCATTGATGTTTCTTTCTTTCTCTCCCTTCCTCTGCAAATTTTGAGAGCGAAATTTTTTAAACTTAAACTTCTTCGGATGCCACTTCTTCAACAAAGACTCGCCCTGGCCATGGTATTTTGTGGAAGAGCCACACTCAAGGGGCCAAAGAGCTGCAGGTGGCTCCTGAGCCGCAGTTTGTTGACCGTGGGTGTAGACCATCTCGTGAACAGGATCCGTTAGGGGCTGGGCGTGGCGGCAGAGAGGTCACAGACCAAGGCTACATGGTCTGGATTCAAGCTGCTCCAGCAGGAGAAGGGGATGAACCCCAGGAAGGAAGTCGTTTCTAGAAAGACGAGGAGGTCCGAGAACACGACTCTCCCAGGAGGCCTCGCAGGAGATCTTAAGGAAGTTTGCAAAAGCAGCATCAGGCCCGGGCAGAGGACTGTGGGAAGCCCTCACGGGCTCTCAGGTTGGCCTGAGGCTGAGGATGGGACCATCACCACCTCCACACCCACCGCGGACAGAGCACCAACAAGATGCAAACCTACGAGCATCTCCTCCTCAAGGTCAGGGAGCAGACACGGGTGCCCCAATTTATAGATGAGAAGGCTGGTGAGGGGCGACACTGACAGCTCCAAATGCCCTGCTCTTTTATTTTTATTGATTTCAGAGAGGAAGGGAGAGAAAGAAAGCAATATCAATGATGACAGCCTGCAACCGGGGCATGTACCCTGTTGAGGAATCAAACCGTGACCTCCTGGTTCATAGGCCAACATGCAACCACTGAGCCACACTGGCTGGGCCAAGGCCCTGCTTTTAACCTGGACCGTCCTGCCTCTGATGCCCAGGGGCAGCCCTGGTGCCAGACCTCAGAGTCCTTCTGCGCTTTGTGCCCTGTCTCCCACCGTTGGAGAATCCAGGCCTGGATGAAGGTCATGTGTGGGGAAGAGTCACCGCTATCTGAGATGTGGCAACGGAAGCTCATGGCCCTGGGCAGGGGTGGGAGGGCGAGCCGCTGAGGTCTGGGGCAGGGCGGAGGCCGGGACCGCATCCTGTCCTGAGGTCCGCATTCCTGGCCACAGGCTGCCGCCGTGAAAAACGCTCATGCATCGCCTGGGAGAGCAGAAAGCCGGCATCCTGGGCACCGCCTCTCGAAGCGAGGGCTGGCTAAATTTATCTGGGGAAGGAGTGTGGAGGGAACAGGGAGGAGAACCAAAGCGGGCTTGGCTTTTCTCCAGCACCTGCCTTCCAAGAGGCAGTAAGCATGATAAGATCATTATCTCACCCACCACCCACCCTTGGAGGAGGCTTGGCAGGGCACCACGGCTCTCTTCTGGGGCGGGAGGGAGCGAGCACCTCGAGCCCGGAAGGAGGGAGGGGACCAGCCGGAGGCAGGGGACCGGCTGCAGAGACAAGGGCCCAGGACTCCAGACCTCTGCACTCCAGAGGGGCTGGCCGGTGGGGGTCACACAATGTGGCCCAACTGAGCCTGTCTCGGCGATCACGGGGCAGGATCACCTTCCCTCTGGGCATGCGGCTGGACCCTGTGTTCTAGCCCCCCTGCATCTAGCTGGCCCCCCCCCCCCCCCCCGAGAGTTCTTGCCAAAGAACGTGAAGGGAGCTGGGCTGTCTGTGACCTCTGGGCCCAGAGGTGTCAGAGCGAACCTTCCTCCTCCTCCCTTTCCTCGTGGCCAGCTAGCTGCTCAAGAGCCAGGGAGAAGTCAGGGCACAGGGGCGACCGAGTCAATAGGTGGCAGGAGCCCAGACCCTGGAGGGCTCCTGAGCGCCCCGCCCCATCTGGCCCCTAGTGCACTGTGCCGGAGCACACGTTAGCACTGAGATGGGTTGTTTGTCACGCGGTTAGCAATAGTTAACCTCTTGCCAACTCCTGTGGTTTTATAGCCAGGAAGCCTGAGTTAGAGGATGAGTTAAAACTGGGGAGTCATTCAAGACCGAGAGGATTCCAATGATGCTACAGTCCTGCGAGGCTAAGAAAGTCCTCGGAGGTCTGGGTGCGGCCCCAGATTGTCTTTAACTGGCTTTTGACCCCTCGCAAGTCCCTCAGCCTCCTGGGCTTTTTCTCTCAACGGAGAAGTGAGAGTGAGGAAGACCAGACGAGACAGTGTCCAGATAGAGTAACTAAAGCAAGATCAGGGTAGTGCTTACAGCCCGTCCTCAGATCAAGATAATGTGGACTCGTATCATCTACATTTCCCTGAACTATCACACCTCCTGCCTCCCAGCGATAACGGTATTAGCAGCAATAACAGACAACGTATATCCATTGGGTGCTTCCTATGTGCCTGGCATTGTGCTATGTGCTTCAAGCCAAGTCACTAACTCAGTACTCACAGCAACACCAAGGAACTCAGCACCGTTTTGAGTGCCATTTACAGAGGAGTCATCGGGATCAGAGAGGTTAAGCAACTTGTCTAAGGTCACCACAGCAAGAGTCAAGGGAGTGAAGCTGGGATTCAAACTCCGAAGGTCCCGTTCAACCGCCCCAGTCTCTTAGCCTGCATTTCGGACGGTCCTTTTTGATGCCCGATTTCTGTTCGGTCCTGGCTCATTTCTTTTCCTTCTCTGGCTGAGGAACCCCTTCTGCACCTGCAGGGTGGGGCTCTCCACCCAGAACCCCTGGCTAAGACGGAACAGGAAGGAGGGGAGCCATGACCCCCAGAGGAGGAGGACCCCCCCCAACGCCTCATGTGAAAAGGGGAAAGGCTGAGCTACACCTGCCCGGGCCCAAATTTCTCCTAAATCCTCTGATTCCTGCCTCTCCGGGTTTGGCTTTCTTGGTTGAGAGATGGGGTCAGTGAGGAGGACATCCCCGTTCTGCATCTTGGCATGGAGCACAGGGCCCCTCCCCACCTGGCCCAGCCCACTCCCCCAGCCTCCTCTGCAGAATGCCCCGCTGTGCCCTCAAGCACCAGCCACACGACCTGCCTTCCTCTCTCTCCTGCACCTGCTTCTCAGACATAGACTTCTGGGCCGTTCTCCTCAGCCCCTCTTCCATCCTGCAGGCTCCTCTCCCTCCGTCAGGACCCCACGCAGTGACTTCTGATCCTTTCAAGTTTTAAACAGGTATTCAGAGCACAGCCACCGTGTGCCAGGCACCGTGCCAGGCACTGCCGACACACCGACAAGCTCTGCTCTCCTGAGAGGGAGAGGAATATGAACCGCACCATCCTGAAGGAGCTCACATTGGACTTCGGCGCTGGGAGGAAGGGGAGCGCCTTGCTCAGAGCACAGCCCAGGAAGGCGTTTGGCCTCGACTGGTGGGTCAGGGAAGCCTTCCTGTGAAATCACTCGAAAGCTGAGGCTGGAGGGTGGAGAGTGAAACGTAAGGAAGCCCTCCCCCCTCTCCGGTGAAGGCACAGTGTTTCTGAGGGAGCAGGAAGTGCACTGCTCTGCGAGGATGGACGTGCGTGGAAGAGGCAGTGTCTGGTCGCGTGCCTCTTCCCAATTCCACGTGCAGCGATTTCACACGTGCAGCTTGAAACTGTCCACAGTGGAATGTGTACACCACAGGAATCGGCAAACGCATAAATAGATCAAAATGTTTTCTTCCTTTCGCTAGAGAGACGGTTTCCTGTTTCCCAGAACTGACGCTACCTTTCCTGTCTCTGAGAGGATCTGGGTTTCTCCTACAGCCCCTCCCCTTCTCCTCGCCACACACACACACACACACACACACACACACACACACACACACACACACACCATACACACACACCAGGCTACAGTTGATAATTTGGACTTTTGACTGCAAGCCAGCTCCCACGGTCCCTCTTTGCCCAATGGCCCAGCGCCGGGAATACATGTTTTCAGAGATTCCTGACACCTCCCAGATTGGCCTCGGGGTTTCCTCCCCCTGCCTCTGGCTCCCCAAATTCTCCCTGCTCTTCAGGTGCAGCTGGTCTACCGGAGTGAACTGCGGGCTGTTCTCTCCCAAATGGAAAACATCTGGATCTGGCAGCTGGCTGCCTGGAAAAGGAGGTGCTACCGGCTCCCGCTGTGGGGAACCAGCCCCATGGAGGGGGGCCTGTGGGAAAACGCAGGGACAGCTGCATGTGGAGCCCTTCTCCGGCTAAGCACTATGCTAGAAGCTTCCATAGCCATCATTTCATTTGGGCCCCCACAACTCAGTGGGGGAGCCGGTG